GAAACTATGAATTGTTACCGGACAAGTTTCAAGAATTTTTGTGTCATCAGACATTTCTTATGGCACGCTGCAGCACATTCCATAATTGTTGTACGTGTTGGATAGGTTTTGCATTAAATTGTTTTTAACTTGTTGTGTAATTCAGATTTTGTCATTCTGACATGTCATTCTGATGATGTCATTCTGGTGATGTCATTCTGATTGAGTTTACTTGTAATTGAATGAATGAATGAATGAATGAATGAATGAATATCTTTATCTTTATTTTGACGTGCTGGCCTCGTCAACCGGAGTTGATTTCCACTAGAGGTGTGTTTTATTAAAAATACAATTATATACAAGGGTAAATCACAAAAGAATAAAATAACAGGTGTATAAAAACTGAACTGGTATGAAAACGTTGCTAAAGTTATCATTGCTCAAGATCTGTAAAAACATGTTTGAATAGTTAGTTGGACTTCCAATGTCCGACAGTAAAATTGTCGCAACTAAGACATATTTTTAGTGTAAAAATTGTGTTAATAAAAAGCACTTTTCTAATTACCTGAGCACAAAATGACAGAGCTAAAAAGAAATTAGAACACAAGGGGTTAAATATGGCTAAAGCGTACGCGAACGCTTGGGATACAAATCGCAGATTTTTTACCTTTTTTTTTTTGTAATCTTTTGGACTGTGTGTCTCCAAGTACATCCTAAACTTCACAGCAATACGTGCAGTAGTAGTGTACCAGGGCATTGTGAATAGAGATTGTGTTTTTTGCTTGATTTTTTGTGAATTCCTTTAATTTTCAAAGAGCAGGGATACTAGCTGTAATTTTTTCCTTTATGTCATCAGGTACGAAATTTTTCCTTTCCTTGTGTTCCAGTTAATTTTGAAGTGATTTGTGTATAACCTACATACGTAAGAAAAGCATCTGAGAAATTGTACTAACGTAAAAGAATACATGCAATTTTGAAAAATTTATCGTGCTTCAATCATAGAATGAGAGCGCAATGTTTTTTTACAAGTGAATGATGATGCTCAGGATTTGAAAATGTGAATTATGAACTAAAGTTCCAACGTTTAAATCGATTGATAAAAACCACCATTGATGGCGGCGAAAAAGGACAGTGCATTGGCATATTAACATGAATAGATATGTACCAGGCATATGGTCTTGTTTGAAAAATGTGCAACTAAAAATTTCCTCTGCTAAAAACTATTTTGATAAATCAAAAAACAGCAAACACTTCATAAATACATTTTATTGGTACTACATGTCATCTGTAGAATGGGAAGGCTTCAAAAATTTTAATTATTTATAAGATTTAATTGGAAATAATCTGCTAGTACATATCATGTTAGCTGCACTATTATTGACGTTTCTGAAAGCTGGTCCTTATTATTATTCGTATAGAAACCTACTATACCTATCATCGTTTGAATCCTCTGTTGAACCTCGGTGTACTCCTGTCGTATAAACTAGATTAAGTTGACAAATCACGAACTTATTTATGATTATAATTTTTGAAAAGCCTTTTCTTTTTACTTATAATGACATTTAAGTACGTTTAAATATGATATTTAGTATTTATGGAGTGTCTTTTTCTTCCTGTTTTATTGAAATGTGGATCTTTCGAAAGTAAAATAACTTTTAAATGCATTATTCCATTAAGGATTCATATTGTTTAAAATGCATTCACGTAATCAATCGACACTTCACATTTTGAAGAAAAAATATTAGCTCATTTTGTTATTAAGAATATTTTGCTTTTCATGTTATGAAACACGTGCATTCACGAGAAAAGACAACGCATAAATGTGTTAAAAGGAGTTGTCATTTCATGGTGTTTTCCATATGTCATCTTCAGCTCTCCTTTATTTGTTTTTATCCCCCAAAATTGGCATACTTTGGTGCAATACTTAAACAGTCACGTCTTCATCAGCCAGTTAGCAACCCTTATAGAAATGCTCTCACAAGTTAATAGTTCACCAGTCAATATGGAAATTCTCTCACAAGTTAATAGTTCACCAGTCAATACAGAAATTCTCTCACAAGTTAATAGTTCGCCGGTCAATACAGAAATTCCCTCATAACGTAATAGTTCACCAGTCAATATAGAAATTCTCTCACAAGTTAATAGTTCACCAGTCAATTTAGAAATTCTCTCACAAGTTAATAGTTCACCAGTCAATATAGAAATTCTCTCACAAGTTAATGTTTCACCAGGAAATATAGAAATTCTCTCACAAGTTAATGGTTCACCAGTCAATACAGAAATTCTCTCACTAGTTAATAGTTCACCAGTCAATATAGAAATACTCTCACAAGTTAATAGTTCACCAGTCTATATAGAAATTCTCTCACAAGTTAATAGTTCACCAGTCAATATAGAAATACTCTCACAAGTTAATAGTTCACCAGTCAATATAGAAATTCTCTCACAATGTAATGGTTCACCAGTGAATATAGAAATTCTTTCACAAGTTAATAGTTCATCATCAGTCGATATAGAAATTCTCTCACAATATTGAGAGATGATTCAATGCAAAGAAACGTCGTTCATTAGCTGAGACTGGCTTGTGATGGAAAACTAAAAGATAATCTGACTAGCAAGGTAGGCTTTTTCAAAATTAACGTATTGAGCCATTTATCTGAATACGTTGTATATTTATGTAAGGGAAAATAATCCCAAAAGCATCATCCGCTTAACGTGTTATTTTTCAAAAACGAAAGTTAAAAACTACAGTTTTTAAATGTTAACTACCAACTGTTAATTACGACAGTTGAAAGAGGGAAAGAAAGCATCACAAATTATTTTGTTCATACAAAAGCTTAACATTTTACATAAGACATCAAGAAGTGAAGGAATTGTATGACAGTTGAAAGAGGGAAACCATCACATATTTTATTTTTGTATAAACAACTATAACGTGTCATTTTTATCTGTCAAGAACTTTCAAATTGTGCACAAGTCAACTACAAGCTGTTCATGCGATCTTGAAGGAGAGAAAGAAACAATTAAATATACTTTTGTAGCCAAAAGATAACATGCAAATTCTTTGTATCAGCTAACCCTGTTGGCTTATCACAGCAGCCTTAATGCGGCAAGAACAGTTGTAGTCGTGTTGTACGATAGTATATATTGACGGCGAATGATTCTTTAAAAAAAATTATAAAAATAAAGCAATGACAAATTCTACAATAAAGAAAAATGGATTATTAAATCCAATGAGCTCATGAGTTGTGAAGTAGCCACGTAATTAATTATATTTTTACAAACAGAACTGTTGCATGTAAAATACACCGGGGCGGATTATCCAGTAGGCTGAGTAGGCTTAAGTCTACAGGCCCGGGCTTTCAAAAGGCCCGTTGTATCTAGACACAATTGGGATTTGAACGTTTTTGTTTTCCGGGCTAGCTAAATCTGCTTAACTTAGATAATTTACGCTGTTGAAACCTTACGAGCAATTGAATGCCGAGGAAAATGGCGTTCGTACTATCTACTTTTCAAATGTTAAATACTCAGACCTCATGAAGTATTAACTTTTCCTACTTCTCAGACCATGTCAATGATTTTTGAAATTTCGTTTTAACTTTAATATGAACTTTTCTCATTTTTTATCCTACGGGGTTACTAACAGGAAATGCAAAGCAAAGAAAAACTAAACTTAGTTGGAGGAATAGGTATCGCTTAAAGGCCTTTAACATTGTCTTAGCCTGCAGGCACGGTAATTAGTAATCTGCCACTGAAAATACACCATATTCTATATAAATATACATTGGAATTAACATATAGGTTGGATTTTGTGAGCATTCCGCTTATCGATGCGATGTGGTCCTCTACATTTATATTACTAATGAAAGGGAAATATATTTAAGATGTTCATTATTGTCAAATGATAAATACTGGTCGCTTGTGGAACGTGAAATTTATAATGGTCAAAATGAAAACATCTTTCTCAGTTTAAAGACAATTGTAAAAGTCTCAATTTTGTACTAAAGGTGCAAACTGCTAAAGTCCGGGGAAAACTCGCTTTTTGCAACTCGTTAATAACGCATGTGTACACTAAAACGAATGAAAACTTTATAAAGGAGTTCTAATACCATCGAAATGACAAAGATGACACTGAACATTCTTATGATAACCCTTGCTGATGTAGCTACTCGATTTCATTCGATTTTATTCGCGACTCCTTCTTTTATGATTAGTCAACATGTGTGATAGAAACATTTAAAAATTATTCTTTTGTTTGTAAACTGGGAGTGGTGAGCATTTATGTTTAAAGTGAAGGGTTAAAGTTGTAAAATGTTTGCAGTTAAAACATTCTGGTACACTGAAGGAGAAATATATCTGCGTTCATCATTTTGATGTTTCCCAAAAATATTTTGTTATTTCGTATAATCCTCAATTCTTATCATTATTGAAGGATTTCCCTTGAGGTCGTGATTTGCGTCGTCAGGAACCAAAAAAATCGACAAATTTTCCTTTCCTGATATAAAATTTAAATTTACCATGTAACTCCAGTGATCTGACCCAATAATAACAGTACACCTTGCGATTTTGTTTATCTAAGCGTAAAATGTACAATCATTTGCTTAGCAAGAACGCTAAATGGGGTTTTGTCTTTCTTATTTACTTGTATTTTAGAATGTATTGCTCCATCTTTGGCCATCCAAGCCTACAGTTCTATAACTTTTAGTCATAATAAGCTGTGAAATTTGATTTATTTTAGTTTAAGTCTCTGCGTTAGACAAACTCTTGTGTTGTTGTGAAGTAGGATGCGAGTGTAAAAAATATCGGAATATCAATATGCTACTATGGAAATTTTATTCTGTTTACATGCTGGAAGTTTAGAGAAGTTTATAGCAAAGCTCAAAAGTGCTTTGTTCCAGGCCATTAATTTCACAATATGTATACTGTGATACAGCTTTTTTTAATTTATCCTGTTTCAAATGCACTTTTTGGATTTCTAGTTTATTTTTTAAAGTTCTTTTCTGATTTTTTTTTAAACACAGGAAAGACGGCTTTTGGTGAAGATATTGAATGGCTTGTGTTTTGTCTTTGGAAAATGACTTTTTCATGAGGATGATTCAATTCGTCTTTGAGGCCCAAGAAAAAATGTAACACCACGTCAACTAAGACATCGTGTTTATTAAAGGTATGTTTGGAGAATTATAGATATAAATTTTCATTGTATATTCCATCCAAGGTTTGCTGTACTGAGATGAGTAGCAAAAATTCAAACGAGTGATACATTTTGTAAACTTTACAGGGGATGAATGAAATTTATGTTAAACTTGGTTTAATATAGTCAGTGCATGAAAGATTTTTACGTGTCTTATTTAAAAATTCTCTAGCCATTTTTCCGAAATCACAAAAATTTTTGAAAAATCATTTTTATTGTATATTTTGTAACATTTGAATGCCGGTTGTGTAAAGGACTATACATTTGAGAGTGACTGCTGTACAAACATCCATTTTCCTGACTTCCACAAACGCTGCATCAACAAATTTTCTTAAACAATTTGCTAGAATGCATTCAGACTTCGAAGTAAATGCATCGTAGGAGTCTTGTCATACTAATATGTACGGTTCATTTGTTTGTTAGAGCCCAAAATTGTTTGATCAAAAAGAATTAGTCACTGCAGTGGTTTCCATTCTTACAAAACGTCGTTCATTGGCCACAAAAGATGTTCGAGGTTAGTTCTTAGCGTATGATACATGTACTATTGTGTTGACTAGACTGTCCAATGCAGCATTATAATAATGAAGTTTACTTAAGTTGTATGGTTGAATTGGTGGAGTAAAATGCTGTTGTATAAATGATTTTTTTCTAATAAATTGATAAAAAAATGTTCCAAGTTGATTCAAATTACAAATCTAAGGTTGTGCACTAACTTCCTACACTAGTTTTATTCTCTTCTGCTTGGGATCTAGCTCAGAAAAATTTAGATTTTCATCTCTGTAATGATCTTTCGCAGAGTGTTGATCACGAACACCTGTGACATGTTGGGTGAAGTTGTTGAAAGAAAGTATTTGTTTTTGAAGAAATTCTGAGTTGAAACTAGAATTAAGGGAGTATAATTTTTACAGAGTCGATGGTTGCTTCGCACCGTTGTGTTATCGACGAAGTTCACGAGCCTTCTACGTATATCTTTCTACTGCTTCTTAATAAAATGCAATGACATACATTTAAGTAACATATCTGGCATATGAAATACAGTGTAGTACCACAAGAAATGGCAATATTTACATTTATTTTCTTCATGGCGTATAATCATTATTTACTCTAAATGTTTAAACATGCAGAATTTCGTCGAAGGTAGATAAATTGCTCGATATAAATACAAAATTAATAGATTGTGCAAAAGCTCAAACTGGTATGATGTTATGATTCTTGTTTTCTCCATTTGAATGGCATTCAATTCGTTTACCTATATTGGATTTTTTATGAATTCTATTTGTGTTATTCGGTTTTTGCGGTCTTTAATGCAAACAGAATATCTTCTTTGTTAACATTTAATCTGATTCTTTGTTTTATGTCACATCTCCCAGAATCCACCAGTAAAAGTTTCATTGCATTTAAACGTTGACAGATTGTGGAAGCCATAGAGGTGACTGGTGCAGATATTCCTTGTGTAAGAAAAGAAAGAAAAAACCAGAGTTATACATTTTTAGCACTTTGCTGTGTTTCCTCGAATTTAATGTTGGAATTGTGATTAGCAATTTATTTTTGCTGATTCGTATGTATGTTTTTAAGGAGCAACCAACTGGTTATTGGAAACAAGACCATTTATCAAATTGATTTCTCAAGATTTGTCTCCATAATTAACATTCTGTTCATAATATTCATGCAGGTTTTAGAAAAACAGATCAACAAAAAATTTCACTGTGTCTACAACTATTATGAACGCGCAATGACTACCAGAAGCTACGAGTGGAATTAAACGAGACAGGCAAACACATCCGAAAGTTTAGAAATTTGTTTACCATGAAGGCGACATAACTCGACCAATTGTGAGTAAACCTATATCGTAAAAATAAATATTACATTTCTATATAAGCTCAATGCATGTGTAGAAACATGAATGCAATAGAGCAGAAACTTACACCCGAAAATAAAGCTTCTTCTAAGCCATTTCTTTTGAATTCTGCCAATACTGACTTCAACATGTAACCTTCCATTTTTGATAAATTTCTAAATAATGTGTTGTGCAAGAAGTATGCAAAGTTGGTGTTAAAAACTGTGTATTTAATTGATTCCCAATTTCCGAATCCAGTTTGTTGGTTTTGATGATTTCTTAGTTTATTTGGGTGGAAAAAAAAGAAAAAGGGCTGAGACGTCCGTTTCTGAGACGTCCATTTCATCCTGTCGAATGATTACTGTGAGCTGTTTTAAAGTGTGTTTATATAAATCGATAAAAGAGGATTTAACAAAATGGAATTATGAAAAATTGAACAGTGTTAAAACGCTTTAGTGTAGCTATTAAGGCCGAAGAATGTATGTATTTGGAATGAACTTTTACCTCATTGCGACAATTTTAGGAGATGAAAACATCTCGTTGAGTGCTTTCTCGACATGAGAGAGTCCTACCAATTGTTGTTTTCTATTGTTTTGTGTTTCTACTTCACTGATTTCAACTGCACGACGACAAATATCCAAGCATCTTCTAGCGTCTCCAGATAACGCAGCCACCTAAAGTCATGTGGTTATTAAAACAAAATTTCTGCATTTAAATTTTATTATCTTAAAAAGAAAGAAAATTTGGTTATTTTTATTGCAATACATAATTGTCAAACCAACATTGTATAAACGGAAACATCGAAACTCTTACTTTTCTGGCGACAAGTTGAACGGCATCTGGTTCAAATGCGTCATTTTCTTTGATTCTAGACATGACAATCTCTTGGAGTTGTGAAAACGAGTACGGTTGAAAAGTCATTCTTGTCAAGCCCTGAAATCGATTTCAATTAACACGAAAATGGAAAAAAGACGTCGTATGAATTTAACCGAGAGGAAATAATCACGATAAAAGCAATTTAATGATAAATAAATAACTCTTTGAAATAGAAATGTTCACATCATTTAATTCAAATTTTCTAACATAAGAAACAAAGAAAAAAGTTTTTGCAAAGTACTAAGTGCTAATGCGACATCTTACTAGTCTACTGGACACACGATTAACCATCATTCTCTCTGGTAGATCCATCGTGTTAGCAATCGCGATGACGATGAGTTTTGAATTTCTTCGCGCAGGCCAATCAAACAAATGATACATAACGTCTTGTTTTCGTGTCCATAGCTGATCAAGCTGGCCAAACAAAGTAAAACAAAACTGATTTTTTACAATTGTATTTTGGAATTATCATTATATTTTAGAAATGAAAAGGTGTTGTTCTTATTGAATTGAATATGAGACTGACTAAACTTGAAGTATTTGTTTGAAAAATAGTTAGTTCAAATGCTTCTTCGTGGGACTGGGAATTTCTCGGTAGAAATTTTCACACGTATATTTTGTTTGTTTTGATAAAATTGTAGTTAGTAATATTCATTACCTCATCAACCAAGAGAATCACATGATTTTTACGCGTCGTAGAATTATTGAAATATTTTTCCAGTAATGCCATAGCATGATCGGCCGTCACTTTTTCTTCCGTTAGAAACTGTGGTAATAAATATGAGAAAAAAGCTGAGTAGCTCCTAGCTAGAGAGGCAAAAAGCCTCGGTTTCAAATAAGCGATGTAAGAATTTTTAGAATAGAGCTATTTTAACATACATTAGCAATAAAAACTGCTGTGGATTTATAATAAAATGAAGCAATGATGAAGAAAGAAGCTAAAAAGTAGTGAGTTTTTAACGGAGAAATGACTTTATGTTTATGTGGCTTTATGTTGTAAAGTTGTCTTTATTACATGGACGCAGTTTTTAGTAAAGTCAGTTGCGTGGCCGGACCACAAGTTATTGTTAACACAGCAATGTTTTCTTTTGGGGTACATGCAAGAACAGTAACTACTAAAGTCAAAAATAAAAACAGGAAAATTCCTTGCACAAAACAGGAAGTAACAAACACTCTGCTCACTCCTAGTAAAACATCATACAAGGAAAAATAATACAATAACGTTTTATAATTATCTATCTAGTCACGATGGTTTTTTAGTTACCTTTATATTCAAGATATAAATGGAAGACAGTTCTAACCTTATGAAAGATGACATATACTTGATTTGGTTGTGTAACTTTCATTCCATTGATTTCAAGAAACTTGAAATAATTCACTTCACCATTTTCCCTCATTTTCTCCAAATAACGAATAACTTCATGAACTGTTGCAGTTTTTCCTGTACCTGGTACTCCGGAAATATACATACAACTAAAATAAAGAACGCTCCGTTCAAATAAAATATTTCCTAATGAGGACTGAGGAAAGCTTTCACTATGGACCATGTTTGGTTTACTAACATTTTGTGGGAGGGGAGGGGGGGCAATGCCACCCCTTCCTTACCCCCTTTGCACCCCTTCTGTACCTCCTCAAGCCAAGACTAGAACAATATTGTTACATTATAGTTAATTTAAAATGGTGGATCAGTTACATAACCAGTCCGCATGTTTTAGAACTGCAATGTATATTTAAGATCATCATCCTTAACTATTTCTTTAGAAATCTACTGTTTTCACAGCGAGCGAACATATTAACATAAGGCTGAATTTCCACTGACGAAAATATTTACGCAAAGTTTTAACGTAAGTACGTTGTAGCTTTTATTACCCTCCAGTTTTGTCGTCCAACTTTCCTTCCAAAAAAGACAAAATATCATCAAATTGTTGTTCTCGACACGGCAAAGATTTTGGCACAGCTGAGACATGTAAACTAAACAAAAATGACAGTATAAACGATAAAATGCCAATCGTCGTTCTTTTCAATCCTTTCTTAATTTGTGAAGAATTTTCAATTGTCAATGGAAAGTAAAACCCAAATAGTTAAGGACATAGAGAATTTAGAGTAATGAAAAAGATAGTATTAGTTTCAATATTATTGGACAAAAATTTATACAATATCTTAGTTCATGCTTTCTTCGGAAAAAAACTCGCTTAACTGAAAAACTGAGCACAAGACACAAAATTTGGCCATGAAAACATCGAGTGAAAACCTTATAAAAAATATGTAAATGGTAGCTACAATACCATGGACGGACGCTATGTTTACATGCAATTACTCCTCGCTACACCACTTTATCCTACCTCTTGCTCTTGCTTGACATGCAATCACTCCTCATTACACCATTTTATCCTACCTTGCTCTTGCTTTTTGCAAAGGTGTTTTTGGTGTTTTACAACTTTTATCTCTCATAGGAATACGTGGAGTCGCAACTGATAATCGATCTTTGCTTTTCGATGATGGTGTCTTACATGAAGTTTTTACGCCTCGTCTAGGTGTAGAGAGTGCTAATTTTGGTTTTGCTTCCGTCAAGCGAACTGGAGTTCTTGACGATTTTCTTCGCACGCTTTGCACATGAACGATTTCTAAGTACAAAAATAAAACCAGAAAAAGATGCCTTCAAATACAAAAACAATACCAGAAAATTCATGCGAGAGGTTAAATAAAAGCATAAACCATATTATACCATCATCAGACTCTTCTGATGGTAAAGCCTCACTTCCACTTGATTCTACTTCATTTTCAGATATTATAAATTCACTTCCACTTGATCCTGTTTCTTCTTCATCTCTTACATTTTTAGAAGAACGAGTTGAACGAGTTCTTTGAGTTGAAGAAGTTCTTGGAGTTGAAGAAGTTCTTGGAGTTGAAGGAGTTCTTCGATTTTTATTTTCACTCTTACTATTTCTCTTGTTTCCTTTTCTAGTGGCAACATTTTTGTTATCTTTACTGGAGGTCTTAGTTTTTTTCTTTGACACGTATGTCTCTCTTTTATCGCTTAGTCCTTTATTTAACGTTGTAAAATTACTTCCACTTGATTCCAGGTCGTTTTCAGATGCTACTATTTTGCCTACACTTGATTCTGATTTTTTTTCGTTTCTTGAATTTTTCGAGCGATTTCTTCGAGTTTTATCTTCATTGTCCCTTTTTCTGTTCCCTTTTCTTGTGGCAATATTTTTCGTATCTTTAATGGAAGTCTTAGTTTTTTCCTTTGACACATCTGTCTCTCTTTCGACGCCTGGTCTTTTAGTAAATGTTGTACATTTGCTTCCACTTGATTCTGCTTCGTTTTCAGACTCTACATATTCACTTCCACTTGATTCTACTTGTTTTTCATTTCTTATATTTTTAGTTCGAGTATAAAGATCATCGTTACCATGTATGATACTTTTTCTAGTACCAATACCTTTTTTATTAATGGAGGTCTTTGTTTCTTTTCTTGACACAGTTGCTGCTTTTGTACTGCATAGTCCTTAAGCAACGAATCAAACATTTTCAATGTATCATTTATGAATAACGCTCTTACATTTATGAAAATAAAAATTCCATATTTCATAAATCATGCCTCCCTCATTATCACCTTTTAAAGGGATGCTTTTGTTCGATTCTGTTTTCTTAGTAAAGGACTTTCTTTCTGAATTTCCTGCATGTTCTTTAGAGTCAGACAACAACAAAACAACTTCCAATGTGTCTGAAATATGAACAGATGAATCACATTGATTCCTTGAATGATTGCAGCCACCCCGGGGCCCACATGAAAGACATAATGAAAAGATAAAAGGGTTTTCAAGTGTTTGACGTACAGAAAAGATTTATACATGCAGTTTGAAAAAAAAGTGAAAATCCCGCTTTAGGAAAGAAGAATGACTGCTTCAAACATTACTGAAAACAGACAAATTTAAAGAAAAATAACCAACAACCGACTCGAGCGTTTTCACTTTCAAACCGAAAAGAAATTTCCAGTCTCGTCGAGTTCTAGTTTTCCTATTTTGGTTATTATAATTAGCGTTACATTTGTGAAAAATTTCCTTAAAAATTATCAAATACATGTAGGAATTGAAAATGGAAACTTTCCAAAGCTTTGAATAAAGTATTTTTCTTTATTTACTGTAGTGATGCAAACTGTTTCCTACATTGCTAATTAAAGCCTATGCTTTACACGAAAGTACAAACCTCAGTTATAGTGAAAACCACAAGCTGACAACCAATAGCATTTACGAAGAAACTGACTACAGTCAACTGTCAACGCTTTGCTTTTTTGTCGCAAAATGTGGGAGGTTATTGCATTGTGTCGTGGAGTTTCTGTGTTGTGTCGTGGAGTTACTGTGTTGTGTCGTGGAGTTACTGTGTTGTGTCGTGAGATACTGTGTTGTATCATGGAGTTACTGTGTTGTGTCGTGAGTTAGTGCTTTGTGTCGTGGAGTTACTGTGTTGTGTCGTGGAGTTACTGCTTTGTTTGAGAGTAATTTCTAAATTGTTTTCACTCACCAAAATTGGCCTGATGTTTTGAGTTGGATAAACTTTTTTTGTATTTGCTTTTAACTTCTGTTTCGTCCTGTGAACTTTTACTTGCTTTACGTTTTCTACTTGACGTCTGTGAAGGACAATTTTTTTCTACTAAAAGCCAGAGGGTACTTTGTTAATAGAGGAAAAAAAACACATTGAAAAATATTTTAAGTACAATGAGACAGCTCAACGTTTCAAAGTACATGCATTAACTTCTTGTGATTAAACAAATTAGGTGACTAAGGGGGTGTTTACATGAATACGGAATGACTTTCAATCCCGATCGAAACGTCATGTCAACCGTGTTTACATGGGAAATCAACACAAGGATTGACATTTTGCGGGAATTTTGAGATTTGAAGATGACGAACATTAACATTATAGCAACCCTTTTTTTTCTGTTGTTCCTGAGTTAATACAGCTTAACACTTGCATGAAACTAATTGTTGTTTTTCTTCGCACTCATTTTAACCCATTTAGCCTCTTTATTTGCTTATGAGCTTCAATTTGCCAGAAGACAATACCCATGGCACATGCGTGCTTCGTCATTAATCACAATGTCATTCTAGAATGAAACTCAATTCGCGTTTACATAAGATTAAAAGTAAATTTTGATCCGGAATGAAAATAGGAATGAACTCGATCCGGATCGAGTTGTGACTCATTCTGGATTCATGTAAACATACAATAGAATTTCTTTTAAAGTGGAATGAGTTCGTTCCGGATCAAAAGTCATTCCGGATTCATGTAAACACTCCCTAAATGACTTATGAAATCATGTAAAATACACATGTATCAATATTCATCATGTACATGTATGTACATGTATGTACATGATTGTATGCTAGTTAATTACGATATTGTTAATCATTAAACCTTCATGCCATTCATATTCTGTTCTTGTTTCCTCATTTAAAATTCTCAACACAGATTTTTTAGTTGACTCAACATGATCAATCAAATTTCTACTTGAAATGATCATCTTGTCAAGGGAGAATCCAAACTTTATAAAATACTTTCCACCAAAGTTCGATACAGATGTGTTGGGAGTTGACAAGATTCTCACAAAACATCTTTCTCTTATTGTTTCAGCATCAATATTTTCAATTATTTTCGATATGTTTCTGTTGCCATTTTCCAACCAAAACAGCTCATTCTCATGTGATGAATTTTTAACTTTCTCAGATAGTTGTGATGGAAGTTCATGTTTTTTAAAATACCAATGTACAACAGCTCTACATTGTTCATTCTCGTGTGAATCATTATATAAATCAATGAGAAGACCTACAGCTTCATCATCATTTTCAGTTTCAACAATTACATCATCTCCAATACATATTACCTGTTGGCCAATATAACAAGATCTATAAAATTTAATAAATTGTCATTTTAGGGTAATGGTTGCGACATAGAATGTTATTTACAGTCATCTTGAACTTTGACCTTATGAAACTACAGTATTTGATATTGAATATATTGTACATATAATATGTTTTAGTATCACCACCGTTTGTCGACTCCAGCCTATATTGAATGCGGGATTTCTATGCTTAAGCAAATAGCTATAATTTCTATAATCGCACAGGGTAACCATACAAAAAGCACCATCTTATATCAACTATCGAACAGTTTTGTTACTTACGTGTATTTTGTTTTTGATTTACTCGATCGACGACATCTCGAGTTTGAGTGAGGTTTCCCCGATAAAACTTCATTTCCCCATGAGAAGCGAGAGCTTTTATCAGAGTCCATGAATAATATATCATATTTTCATTATCTTATATATTTAATATTTTTATTTTAAAAGTTCGCGGTCGTCCCACGCTAAACTGTATTGATGATGCCTCCGCTGACAACCAGTTCTTGCCTTGCGGGCGCGACTAGAATCGAAGCGCCATTTTTAAAAATATATAAAATACACATTATTAAATGATGGAGGAACTTTTCAATAAATTACTTTTTGTTTCTCTGAGATCCTCATCTCGTGAAGAAAGGTTTGCTTCATCTATGATTGTCAACTTCGTGTTTTTGAAATTCTTTTTTTAAATTATATTTCTTTTGTAAACACAGACGTGCTCGCTTGAGAATTTCTATATTAACCATTCACCCACAATCAACGAGAGGAAAGGTTTGTCAAACAGGCTTGAAATTTGTATGTGAGAAAAACCATGCAGCAAATACTAATCAAAACGTCAGTTTAATCATTATTTTTGAGCAATTTTAACATGCTTTTTTATGTTTTAGGAGCTATCTGTGAGATTGACAGACGACGAAGATCCATTCTTTCTGTTTACGTTGCAACTTGGTGAAGATGATTTTCAAATGTATGGATCAATTATTTAGCTAAACCTAAATATTTATTGCATTGTATTATGTCATGTCTGTACAGTATAAGTTTATAAAGACTTGTGTTGTTTTATTTGCAGATTAAAAAGTCAGCAAGGTTTGCTTGTTGATTTCGCATCTTTTCCACAAAACCTGATGGATCTTCTCACTTATTGTATTGATGAGGAAGCTAAGGATTTTCCTAAGTAAGCAACTCATTCAATATATCCAAATTAAACCTCAATATTTTTATAACTCATGTTATTTTACTTTTATTTTCAGGTTTTTGTTGACATTTACAATTTCAGATCATGATTGTGGAGTATCATATTTGAATGTTGTAGAGACAAACTCTTTTAAACATTTAACTCATTTATCATTGAAGTTTATCTTGGGAAATGATGTTGATGTTAAGAAATACTTAGCTACATGTCTTACTTCACTAAAGGTATGCCATGGTATTAATTAGTACAATTCAAGTTACCATTCCCTAATGATCATATGTCACATTCTAACAGGTAAGGGTACATGTTTGAATGTTCAGGTAGACCATTCTTTGCCAGTGATAGGTGTATCACAGTGCAGGGAATAACCTGTATTCAATAGTGTATTCTCACTCTAATGTGTGATGAACATCTTATTAAGCATGTGATTAGCATTTTGCCAGCCTGTAAATTGCATGAGCATTAGGTACATTGACTTGGCTAACCCCAGCGACATAATACTACTTTTTGTTCCTTTTACCAGTGGTTGTATAACATATAGATTTATGTTTTCACTTGTAGGAAGTGAATCTTGAATCTAGCATATAATGCATTAATTACCAAGTTATACATCACTGGTTAAGAGGATGATTTTGTTTGGAATCTATGTATTTTTTACTCAAAGAAGAATAAACGTGTTTCCTGACTTTTTATTATTAAATCTTTTTAGGATGAAAACAAAGTGCTGAAAAAACAACTTGAATCAACTGAAACTGAACTTGGTGGTCGTTTAGCAAGAGCACAAGAGGTGACCAAAAATATATACTATGGTGTATGAATAGAGAATTTATCAGAAATTTTCGACATCATGAATTGTTGTTTTTGATGAAAGATACCCATAGTAAATATGGGATTTTTTTTCTCTCTTTATCTGACCTTTCTAGGCTCTAGCATCTAGGAATAAAGAATTGAGTGAATTAAGGGAAGAATTTAATGTAAAGTCTAGCTCAATAATAACTCAGCATTCTCTAGAACTTGCTACTGAAAAAGAAAAAACAATTCAGGTAAGTCTTAACAGTTTTGTTAAGAGAAAATGAAAATTTTACACTTCATGAAAATTTGTGACACGCGCAATTTTGTTATACTAAGGTCACGTGTTTTTCTTACAAAAAACTGCAATGATCCATGTATACAGACAAGACGAATCTTAAAACATAATATACACTTATTCCAATAGATATAATATTCAGATTGATTATTGTGAAGGTATAGAAAAAGCAAAAAAAACATGTTTTTTGGCCAGTTTCCTTACTAAACTTTTCGATATTTTGCATTTTGACCATCGGTAAACTTTGACTCAACATCGTTTTGACGATCTAATTTTTCATGTCTTTTTCATTTCCCTAAATCATACTGAAAACGTTCTTATATAAGTTATATCTGCTTTTAATCCTATTTTTCAGTGATTTGATGTGAATATTTTAAATTGGTACCGTATTTTTGTTAGATTCAAGCATCTTGTCAGAAACGTTGTGATGAGGAAAAAAAACAGTTAGAATCATCACATCGAGCGATTCTTGTGGAACTTCAAAATAAAATATCCAAATTGACCATCACAAATAACGTAAGATATTAAAAATTTATCACGGAGTTGATTTCTCACTTGTAAATTTATGAACCTCTACGAATTGTTGTGGATCATATAGATTATCATAGTACACGATGTTTGTATATTTATGAACCTCTACGTATTGTTGTTGATCATATAGATCATCATAGTACACGATGTTTGTAAATTTATGAACCTCTACGTATTGTTGTGAATCATATAGATTATCATAGTACACGATGTTTGTTATAGGTATCTCCAGTGTACATTGAATGATCATTTGTCTTTGAAATAACAACATTTTACCATGCTTGTAGTTTATTGTTTATTTATTCTTGTTGTTTTTTTTTCATTATTGTTTATTTTCATAGGAATTAAGCGAGGCAAAATTTCGTTGTGATGCCACTTGTACTGATCTCAAAACTAAACTAACATTTTCTGAAGAGGTACATAATTATATTGTTGCAGAGTGCGATAATTTAGTTGAATGAGAATCTTTCTCAAACTTTTTTTGTCTATGCAATCCCGATGATATTTGTGTATAAAACATATTTATTTTACCGTTGATATCAACGTCGTAGAGTAACAAAACATAAAATTTATTTTACCAGACATATCAACAATAAAAAGTTATAAAATACAAAATTTATTTTACCAGGCTTATCAGCGATGTAAAGTAGAAATGACAAAATTGCGTCGTGATAACACGAACTTGGATAGTGAACGCCATGAAAGAGACAAAACTTTGAATCATCTTCGTACAAGAATAGCTGTCCTTGAGCAAGAAAATAAAGATAATCAAGAAGTATTTTTTATCTACTTTCTCATCTTCCTGTCAATAATAACCATACACTCTCACAAATATTAAAAAATTATGATCAGGTGTTTAACTTAACCGCGTTGACGAAGCTATTTTTGCTACGAGTTGTCACAAAACGATGAATGGTGAATGATTTGAGCAACACATCTAACACACGGTTGAAAAAACGATTAACGCTAGTGTACAAGTATGGGCAAGTTCAAAGTTTTTGGATTTCTAGGTAATATCGAGAACAAGGGAACTTCTTGAGGCCGCCAATGAGCAGAGAAAAAAATGCGAAGAAACTGTTGCGGAACGTCAACAACAATTGAATAAGTCAGAAAGAACGGTTCAGTCAATTTCAGATGAACTTGTTAAGGTGTGTGTTATGTTTTTATTTTTACATTTACACTGCCTTTTACTGAGAAAATATGTTGAAAGAGGTAACGTCATAAGTATTTTAGGATTCTTTAACACCTACATCTTCCATTGATATATTGCTTACGTACATACAATGTTTTCAGTGATATGCCTACTGTTCAATATACACATATTGTTTTCAGTGACGTAGTCAGCCTGCTGGTTTTGTCATGTTACGTAAATTTCACATCATTAGCATTATCTACTTCTTTAGAAATGTATTTTTTTACAGTGAGTCAACATTGAAATATGTACATTACACGTCTAAATTGTTATTTTAGATATTGATAACATCCATCATCTTTATGTCATACGTACTGTTCAAGTTGCACACGCTGTTTTAGACATAGTTATTGTACTGTTGAGTCATATTTAACTACTTAAATAAATTTATATTTCCACTCAAAGTTTTTTACGGTATCACTCGTCGAATTTGATCATCATAGTCAATAATATAAGTTGTAAGTTTGAATTGTGTTGTATTTTGAGATGTGTTAAAATTAGATGTGTTGTTATTAGGGAAATGAAATCATACTTCGGATACAGAAAGAGCTTCGTAACTCGAAAGCAAAGGTAGAAATTTACGTTTCTATTTTACTTATATAAATATGTGTTCGCCTAAATACATCCGCATACAGCAACCAACATACACCTACATATACCTCATACACTGACCTAAATACACCTGCATACATCAACCAACATACACCTACATATACCCTCATACACTAACCTACATACACCTGCATACATCAACCAACATACACCTGCATACATCAACCAACATACACCTGCATAAACGCTCATTTACTAACCTACATACACCTGCATACATCAACCAACATACACCTGCATACATCAACCAACATACATCTGCATACAGCTAGGAACATTAGCATTTTGACTCTGAAGATGACTACCGCTAAGGTTGACTCTGAAGATGACTACCACTAAGGTTGTCGAAACGTCAGTCAACACCAACAACAACAGTCCTTCTCAGGACTATACTAACCTGGACGATATACATCCACAAACATGTAACGATACTCCCGGATTCAAACCATTTACTTTATTACGATCATTTGGACGACAGAGCGAACAACTTGCTAACGACTACGTTCATACGTTTCGCAAGCAACGCCAGACGCATCGGCATGTTGTGTTGATATCAGACTTGTGTATGAAGATTTTTTATGTTTTCTACTTAGAACAAACTTAATGCGACTGTTATAGCTCAACAAGAAAAGGTGGTAACTGAAAAGGTAAGTTATTTATTGAACTGAATAATTAGGGAATATGTTCTGTATGATTTCTTTTGTGTTCACAGACATCAACAATGGAGAAACAAAATGAGGAACTACAAACATTGATGGGTGAAGTTAAGAAAAAAGATGCAGAGGTAAGATTTCTACAACTCCATAAGGTTGCAATTGAACACAATAATTGTTAAACTTAAGTTGCTATATTTATACCTACACATATATGTAACATCAAAGGTGGCCTATGAGGTGTAATTTTTCTTTAGATTGACACATTGAAGGAATCTCTCTCAACAGCCAATGACAAATTAGAGGAGAATAAGCAAATGTTGAAAACTAATGAAAACGGTAAAGTTATATTGTCAACATGTATAAATAAATTATAGATCCAATTTACTGTTATTACAATCAACTTTATACACGAATGTTTTCTTTGACTTTATTTTCTGTTTTGAAGTCATCAACTGGTTGAATAAACAAATCAATGAACAATATCAGTCAAAATTTGGACCTGCCAGTGTAAACTCTCTTTCTTCGCACATTGGTGCTCGTTCAAATTTCAACAACTTGGCTTTGGTGAGTTGATTATAATTTCCATGAATTCGTTTAGCTTCTTCTCTTTATCTTACTATTGATTATTCTTATCGGTACGTATTCTTTTCATGTCTATCACCTCACAAGATAAATTTTTTAGGGCAATATTAACCCTTAATCAAACTTTTTCAATCGCTTATTTCATTTGTTTAAATGAGTGCTGCAGATCTGCTATAGTGGACAATATAAAGTTAGATATTTACTGTCAACACTGCATGAATTTCTTTAGCTATGAATTTTTGGAAAATTTTAAATTGCAATGAAATCGTGGCTTATTTTCCTTGTTGCGTTTTTCACACCTAAGACTCTGCATGTATAAGAAAATACAAAAATATGGTTTTCAGCGTGTGTAGTTTGTATCTACGTAAAACATGACAATGAAAATCATCCCGTATCATTGAACTTACTGTCATACTATCATAGAGCTCTTAGGAGGCTAAATCTTTACAATAAATTGAATTAGTCTTTATCTCCAGTCAGTTTTATTTTGTGTTTTACTGTAAGTTATTTTTTTCAATTTTTTTTCAAATTAATTCAGCCTCACAGTACCCCACTTTCCGTCGACTCTGTTTCAAATTCCACGAATGTACACATTCCTCGTAACCCGATGTCACATGCCCAGGTAAGCTTAATCTTGTGCTGAAATGTCGTAATTTGACGTCAGGAATTTGAATGCCGTGACTATTAAATTTAATTCTCATACGACTGAATTTTTATAACTGGAAAGATTTTACATTTGTACCTGACTTTTCTTATCTTTCTAATGTCGTATATAACTCAAGAATATCAACATGGTTCGTTTGTTCCTTACTTGGTACACGTTTGATCACACAGATTTTTTCTTTCAACAAACATTTACGGTTTTTTTGTCAACAACTATTAGGTGTTCAAGTAATCCAATTAATTTTTACTTTGTGGTTTCTGTCTGTCACATCACTATACTTCTAAAATATATCCGGCAGCGCTGTTGCCTTGAAATTTTGCACAAATTACTGGTAGGAAATATTTTTTAACGTCTCAGGTAGTTTTCCGAAAATATTGAGTAGATTTAGAATACAGGTGCATGAAAACATAAGGCATAGTATACTGTATTATGTAAAGTACAATAAGTAAAGTGATGTGACAGACAGAAAGTACATTTAGGAAATAACAGGTACTAGTGGTTGTTGGTTATGAAAATTTTTCACAGGAATTTTTTTTTTAAATTCGCTTGAGAACCTACGCTGTAGTTTTTCATTTCATCAAAATGCCGTCTTTATCAGCTTTCTTGAAAAAATCATTTTGATCACATTCATTTATAAAGTGCTTCATGCCCTTTAGGTTGTGTACCGACCAGGATATAAGGCAGCTCAAATTACCCCAAGTATCCCCGAGGAAAAAGCTAAAACGTCACCCCAAAGTCTCTCTGGTCCTTTGAAATTGGGAAAAGAAAATAATCCTTTAATTGATCCCAAGTACTTGACGAAACCAAATCAAAAAATGTGTCAATCAAGACCTGCTCCATTACAGACACAAAATAAGAAAAATGATTCAAATAACCCTATCATATCATCAAATGTACAACCAGCAATTCCTTTGATGTCCGCTTATTTCCCCAAGAATACATCAGCAAACCAATAGTCAGCAATAATATATAGGTACGTAGTATGTGAGAGTCGATAGTTATTGAATGAGGTGATGATCTGACTTGCTAAGTGAAACATGAAATGTTATAATTTAAGGCTTACAACATCTTTTGAAGAAATTATGCATGGTCATGTCGTTGAATATTTTTTCATAACAGACCAGGGAACTGTTCAAGTCTTTTTTTGATAATATTTTCTAACCATCACCCTGCTGTAAATCTGTGCTTCCTCAATAAGATTTGTGGTTGTTTCAACTTGTAATAGCGATATAATCATTGAACATGGCGTTAAGACACAATCTGACATAAGTTATGCTTGTAAAAAAAACAAAACTGCTCTCTGATATTCAGTTGTTTTATTAAATAGGTATTGTTTGATTAAAATATGAATTCTCTGAACTTTCTAACTAGATTTAGTCCTGTCATTTATGGACGTTATGATCACTAAGTGTTTGATAGAAAAAAGTCGTTACTTTCATTTCCTGAATTATAAATCAGTTTGCTCGGTAATCGTGTTGTTTTTGATTAACGATGTATAAGGATTTTCTTTGTTTCGGTTCGTTGATATAAGTTCTTGATAACCATCTTCCTCAAAAGAGGCATTTACATAACCCTGTGATCGATTGTCACCTAGCTCATTTGCATAAATTGATGTTACGTCATTTCGTTGCTCACCATCATTGTCAGATATATTTTCTTCAGCGGAGGCATAGTTCGACGCATTTCCAGCAATTGTAATGACATAAGAAATCTCAGAATTTTCTACGTTTTCAAGTGGTTGGTCGTAATCTGACTCAGGCTTCTGGGAAAACTTACGAAGTAAAAGTGGGGAGGGAAGTCCTGTCACATTTGTGTTATTGACATGAGGATTGGATGTATTATTTTGTTTCATTAATTTATTTGCTTTTGATTGTTTTCTCCAACAGCAACATGTTACCAGAAGCAGAATGATTAAAATGCACGCTGCAATAAATGTCCCAAAAAACATAACTTTCAGAGTTCCTGAAATGAAAAACGATAAGGTCATAGCTACATTTTTAAATTAGATTTCAATCTGAGCCGAGTAAACTTTCTGAAGAAATAAAACTTTGGTAATTGGGACAGTTTTGTGAATTGTATTAAACAGTAAATACCGTGTTATGCTTTACGAATGCCTGGTAAATTTATCTACGTATTCTTGAATAGTTAGAAGAGATGTTATATTTATACCTGATGAAACATTCCACCATAGTATTTTCTCATTTTTTGTTATAAAAATTAGCGTTTTTTTCAAAGTTGGTGAAGGTGATGATGAACTCAACATTAACGACGTTTTCTGTATCGAATGCAAGCTAAATTTCATCGGTGTAATTGCAGACAAAGTTGTCGTGTTATAAATTCTTGCGGTCTCCATTTTGATTTGAACTTTGGATGTGGATGATTCCAAACTTGTAGACGATGCTTTTGAGACATTATAAATTCTTGTGGTCTCCATTTTGATTTGAACTTTGGTATTGGATGGTTCCAAACTTGTAGACGATGCTTTTGAGACATTATAAATTCTTGTAGTCTCCATTTTGATTTGAACTTTGGATGTGGATGATTCCAAACTTGTAGACGATGCTTTTGAGACATTATAAATTCTTGTGGTCTCCATTTTGATTTGAACTTTGGTATTGGATGGTTCCAAACTTGTAGACGATGCTTTTGAGACATTATAAATTCTTGCTGTCTCCATTTTGATTTGAACTTTGGATGTGGATGATTCCAAACTTGTAGACGATGCTTTTGAGACATTATAAATTCTTGCTGTCTCCATTTTGATTTGAACTTTGGTAGTGGATGGTTCCAAACTTGTAGACGATGCTTTTGAGACATTATAAATTCTTGTGGTCTCCATTTTGATTTGAACTTTGGTATTGGATGGTTCCAAACTTGTAGACGATGCTTTTGAGACATTATAAATTCTTGCTGTCTCCATTTTGATTTGAACTTTGGATGTGGATGATTCCAAACTTGTAGACGATGCTTTTGAGACATTATAAATTCTTGCTGTCTCCATTTTGATTTGAACTTTGGATGTGGATGATTCCAAACCTGTAGACGATGCTTTTGAGGCATGTGTTTGTCTTGATTGTAATGGTACCACGATTTTATTTATCACCGTTGATGATGTTACGTATGCAGTAGAGAAAGATATTTTAGTCATTGTGAATGGGTTCGAAGATGAGATACTTTCAAATGAGATCATCGATGGTAATGTGTTAATGACCCTCAACAATGGGGTTGTTTCAGTTGAATATGCTCTAGACGTTACAGAAGGAACGCTTTTTATTTTTGAAATACTCATGCTGTTGTTACCGTCGATTGTTGTAGTTGGACCTAGAAAAAAACCAATAGCATGACAAGGATTCTTGAAATTAAACAGAGGAGATCTTTATTAATGCGGATAATGGGCTTAAGCTAAAGACAAAACATTACTAATTAAAAATTTTTAAAAAATGTCACTTTATAATTGCCTTATGTGTTGAGGAATCATATTTATACTGAACTTGGATGCTTTTCATCAAGAAAATGTATAGTTACAATAAATTTAAAAGTAAGAACTTTTCAACTGCAGTTAAAAAAAATTGACCGTGGCAGTTAAATTTGCTGATGTTTACTCGTAAATTAAACATATAATATGAGATAGAAATGCCCTGTTTATTCTTCTGGACACTTTTACTACATGCTAAAGGAAATTATTGTCTCCGTTGTGGTGATTTGGTTTTAATCATGGGTTTAATATTTGTGAAAAGTTCGATATTTCATACACTACAGTAATTTGTCAGTGTTAGTCGCCCCATTATCTCTCATGACTATTAAAGTTAAAATATCCATTGAAGTTGGTTAAATGACTGTCGAACAACACATCAGACTGGCTAACTTTGAAAATTTGAAAATTTGCTTCAAATAAACTAGACCCTAAGTTGAGAGATTCGGAAAAATCTAAGATGAGATTGTCGATAAGAGAAAACAGAGCTTTGCTTCAGCCATTGATTATTATCATTGACTTAATCTACTTTGAGAAGTTTACTTTATTTTTTAATTTGATATTTTATAGTCGAATGAGATACTGTGGTTTTTCTACAGCAGAAGTTAAAAGTATAAAAAGTTACAGACAGAACAAGAAATAACGTATATCAACGGAATCATACATGAAATAAATTCAAATATTTAACGAAATTATTATGAACATATCACAGCATCGTCGACATTTTTATTAAAATATGACAGCTCAAGTATTTTAAAATCGGAATAAAGGCGTGTGGAATGCAATGGCTATATACTTTCGCGTAGAAAAATCAAATTTTTGTTAAAGTAGAAGTGTTTGAGTTGGTTTGAAACGTGTACTTACTTGGTGATATAGTTAACTTAGTTCCGCTCCCATGAATGGTGTCTGCCACGACAAACATCATCACATATGTTATCATTTTCATATTATATTGATCATTCTTCATCAGTTTATAATAAGTTTGACCTTTATTAAAGTAATTCAACTGAAACATAAGAATTATGTAGACTCCAAGGATATTGTCATTCCAAAGAGTAACGCGTTGTGACCGATATGACTATCTTATTTCATGTTCAGCGAGTGGGACTCAAATTACATATTTCATCCTGTCGTTTGCACTCTTCCAAAATGTTAAATTTTTTTGATCATATAACTCGAGAAAAGTATGAACGGTGCCTCTGTTTTAAGACTAAACTTCAAGAAGATACACCGGCAACAGTGCGAACAATTAAGAAGAAAGCAACAATTATTAATTCTCAAAACAATTCTTAATGTTGCAACATCACCAAACACGGCATAATCTTTTGTAGGCAATTGCTGACTACTTCTCTTTGTTATGTCCATAGACTATGGCAAAAATAGCAGACATTTGAATTTTATTCTGTTCAAGAAAACTTAACGAAGTACAACATAATACTTATTGTTCTCAAATCTACAACATGCATGTACTTGAATGCTGAAGGTATTTCACACCCAGGTTACACGCTAGCCACAGTGTTTGATAAACTGCGATTTTTATATTTTCCCTAGAACTTCGACTTAAATCAAAAAATTATCCCAAAGAAAGACATATACAACTCTGAACAATCAACTAAAGATGGGCTATTCTCATTTTTTTTTTAATTCAACATTCTCATAGTACTGATCGTTGCTCCTTTTCCCATCACCATTTTTCGTCATGACAGTCGATGAATCCAAGAAAACTTCCTCATAACGACCAACAGGTGTCTTAGCTGCATCACTTTCTTTCTTTGACACGGGAAAAACATTCTCATATTGTTGATTATTTTGGTGAGATTTATCACAAGGATGTTTAAAATTTCGAGGAGTAACGTTTTCGTAATGTCTTTTAGATGATGGTAAGTCACTTGGTAAATCAACGCGCTCATAACCAGATTCATTTCTCGCGTTATTTTTCGCCTTCTGTACATCAGGTGCTGCTGAACTTTTTACACTTGAAAAAAAAAACACGTAACATTCTAATAGTTAAAGCCTGTCGTCAATAGTCATTGGTTGACAACAAATACAACGCACTCATGAAGGTAGTCACCAAAAATTCGAGTTTAGGATAATTATTAAAAAAATTTGTAAATTTTCATTTATAATACGTGAGGAAAAAAAACGTTATTTTTTAGGAGCGTTTTCAATTTAATATTTATGTTTTCCAGCATTGTTTTAAAGTTTCGTTTTGATAGCTAATGGTTAAATTCATTTGGATCATCTTATGCTCAAAACGCTTATTTTGGGATGGCGAACAATTCAATTCAAACATTTCGTTTCGTTTTGTCAATTCAAACATTCCAATTGTTTTCTTTTGTTTTGTCAATTCAGTATACTTATGTTTTGTCATTCAATTTGTTCCAACTACTACAGTACAGGGTGCACCCTAAAAACTAACACTATGTAGAAATCATCTCATTGTTCATAAACATTTGCTTTACGCGCATGATAATACAAAAATAATTTAATGAAAGTCTACGCATGCCAACTTCGGTAATCTGTTTGGAAACAATGAGATGATTTTTACGGTGTCACTTCTTTTTGTGACACTATGTCTCGAGCTAAAAATGTGTCTTCAGGGAATTTCTCAAGAAACTTGAAAAGAAAAGTGAAACATTGATGTATGGCCATAACGCGTCATAAGCATAGGTGAATTATACAGAGACGTTCACAACGTCCGCCATCATGGCGGAGAATTTCAGCAAAAATTGTTCATGTGGTGCATTGAAGATATAAAACCATAATACATGTTTACAAACTGCACTCAGAAGTCAGAATGAAACGCAGCGTCGTGAACATCTCACATGGAGGACTTGGGACTTGGGTTACACGCAATACGAGATTTAAAATAATTCTTTTGAAAAGATGCGATTTGTTCGAAAAAGAAGATATGGATACGAACATTTATAATTCCTTACAACAAAAAAGGTTTGTACTTTTATTGATTGTGTGAATTTGTAGATTTAGTTAAGAAAAACGAAGTATAATCCAAAATTTATGGATTATCAACGCCTCGTTTTTCGTTAAAATACTTCAAGTATATCAAACCGTTCACATATAGCCGTTTTGAATTTCGACGATGGCCACCAGAGTAAGTCAGGTCAAAATGTTTTACCAACGAGGTAAACTACATTGTTTTAGAATAAGTTGTTTTAAAGGTTGGTGCACGTTACAAAAATCCCTCTCATAACAACATATTGAACATGTTAATTTTAAAGTACTCTGAAACATGTCACTTCGAAATACTCATAACAGCACATGAAAACAGCATCATTTAGGGGAGAGTTTCAAACACAGATCAAAACTTGCATATAAGTCGTTAAATTGCGTATGTATGAGAAACAACATCTACTGACACAAAAAAACCACCAAGAATATAAGTGCTAAGGAGAAAATATCCAAAAAATAAAAATAACCAAAAGAACACAAAATATGAAATAATTAAAAGTAAATATCTGTCACACTTTGAAGATAAAAAGTGCAAATACCTGTTTAATACAACACCTTCTTGTTCCAATTCTTCTCTAAATTTCACTGTACTAAGAAAATATAAAAAGAAAATATTTTCCAATCTAGTTTTTAACATTAAAAGACATTTTCTATAAATGTAATCATGATCTTGCCTTAAAGTATAATCACAAGTCACAAAATTTTGGAATATTTTTAGTAATTAAAATGAAAGCATTCTTTTTTTCTCGATAAATTATTATATCAATGAACACACAGTACTTGTTATACCTGAATGCTAACGACACAATGGAAAGAATAAAGTTTGATTATTGTAAAAATTAGGAGAATCCACAACATCATATCTGCTTTCTAAATAGAAACTTTCAAATCTTGTGAAAAACTTTGCTGTGCTAAATAGTTGTATACATGCAACCAGAGGAATAGTCATCCACATGTTTTAGTCATTGCTTTGCAAATTTCAGCGCATTATCATTCATTTGCTTGAAAATCTAATGTTTTATCATTGTGTAAACACAGATAAATTTGCTTAGTTTTGCATTACATATTCGTGGGCTAGCTATGCCAGTGCATGCAAGTATAAGTAATTATAACTCTTCAATAAACTCAAACCAATAACCTTGAAATGTTTTGCCCTGATTTTGTTTGATAATCCATTTTTATGATTTCGTAAATCTTGAATATTGTTATTTAAAAAAACATTTTCCAAGATAATTTTGTGATGAAACTAAATGTCATGAATGGTTGTGTAACAAAGTAGGATACCTTTCATAATTCATATTATTATATGACAGATTTCTATCCCTTTCAATTCTTTCACTGCGTCGTCTACAAAATTGAAAAGAAATTTAACAAAAGCAACATCTAAGACTAAAACAAACAAAAAAATTCAGGAAAACACCAACTAACCTTTTATAAACACATATAATTAAGAGAATGACAATTGCAAAGAAAGCTGCAATTGTAGTTGCAATTATTGTGATTAAGACCCAAGGCTCTGACTCATTATGATCTATAATTTCCATTTCTTCAGTGCTCTTGTGTGTCAATATTGAATTGAGATGATTTACAGTAGCTAAACACGAAATAAAGAGACTAGTTACGATTACAAATCATCACACTTTGTGGTCAGGTTACACAAAATGCACATAATTTTTCTAGTATCTAAGAAAGCTAAGCTATTGTCATAAAAAACCAAAATAATTATGTCTAAAGACTAGAAATAAAATGATAGAAGCCATCAATTACGGGGCGTATCAATATTAGAACAGGTGTTATATAGACAGACAATGAGATCAATGGTATTTCAAAGAATAACCTTCGAAATAAATTCAGCATTCGTCAGCATGGTAAATATACAAAATATTATAATAGAAATGGAAAACAGTTTGGTATGTATTTTGCGCATAGGTTAATATCGACTACTAACCAGTTGTAACGCTTTCTGTGTGATTCGCGATTGAAGATTTTAACCATAAAACGATAGACAAAAAGAGAAAGACGATTGCATGTTTATATTCTGCTATAACCATGTCTTTTATCTGATGACCTCACGATTTTATTTGTCACATGAGTAATTTGATCCGACTTGTGCATGCTCCGTCGTCGTCGTTTTTTAATCTTATTTCTTAAGGCAAAATGGTTGAGGGTTTGCTATCATGTGAGTGCAAAGTTACCAGGAATCGTCTGTTTCCATATCTACCCACCCACAGACCCACTCGGACAGATAGTTGGTCTGTGGGTGGGTAGAATCTATAAAAACAAAAAAATCTTAGACATAAAAAATTATTAAATTATAAAATCTCAAGTAACTGATGGTTAAGTTTTGAATTCAATTTCTTAATAGTCAGTTCTTACGCAAATGCTTGCAACCAGTGTATGCAATGTTCAATCCTGAAATTTGGCAACCAGGGAGTGGCCCCCTACCTTGCTTCTCGCAGTGCTAACGCCGCTGACCATAAAGTCAAATGTCAATGGTCAACCACAGGTTGCCAGACGAGCATAAATTCGGCCAAAAGTGGCTTAAAAAATTTTGTCTGGCAGAAACTTTTTTGACAAGTCTGCCTTGGCCGAAAATTGGCTTTTCAAACTATTTTCCCAAACACATTTCACAGAATATTGAAGCTTAGTAATTTAAGTAGATTATTCTAATTGCAAACATTTAAATTAGCTTTGACGCACCTTTGTGCGTCGACATTCAGCACAGCAATGGAAAGCAAAAGCAAGCCTAATTTTATTGGCTAAGAAATACGTCTGACCTCTGAGTAGAATGAAAAATGTATATTACTGCATTTTTTTTGTCTCAACGTTAAAAAAAAACAAAAAATCAACAGCAATTATGCAGCTTGGGTGGTGCTTAGTAAGTGGCGATGGTGCTTTATAGCGATGATTAACTAACATACAAAATCAACCAATAGAACCAACATTACCATTCTTAACCTGGAGGATTTCCAAAGCCTGATATTTCCACTTCCATAGGATCACAAACTTAGCGTATCCTAAACAAAGTAGACTCACAGTCTCATCAGTCACATGCATTAAACTAAACATAACTGGAAGGCTACCTTCTGATAAATCGGTAGCACACGAAATGAAGCCAGTGCTGTAGAAGTGGGGGGCGCTTGGGGGAGGAGCCCCCCTTCTACCTTTGAAATGGGTAATTTTAAAAGGGCACTATTAACAAAAACGTCAAGAGAGCCCCACATCTGATAAATTTAGTTCTACAGCACTGAATGAAGCCAAAATTTGCGTGATCTGAATGTATGTCGGTAGCCTTCCAGTATTTAGTTCAATGGTCACATGACCAACCCATCGAGCCGACCTGATCACGAAACTAACCAACCGGCTGGGCTCATCTCTAAAGTCTCTACACAAAAGTTTAAGCTTTTTGTTATTATCTCATTCATCCAAAATGTCATAAAGTTAAATGCAAGTTTTTAAACAATGTAAAAATGCTGAGTTTAGCATTTCATTTTATTGGACTTCATCTCAATACTCGATATTTTCTAAATCATGTAAAAATTGAAATATCAATTATTTGAAATGAAGGACAAAATCAGTTTTATTATATTTTTTAATGATATGCTGTATTCAATTTCTTGACAATGAAACTGAGTCCTTCTCCGTTGTTGCAACATGCTTGAAAACTTTATTTTAGAAATATATATAAGAATCTATTTTTGTTTCTTCATCTTCTATTTCATAAGCATGGTAACTTTTTCTGTATTAGATGATCTCGTTTAAATTTATTACTTCATTACTTCGTGTCTTTGGACGACTGCGTAAGAAAGGAAAGTTTTATGAAACAACAAAACATTCCACATTTGACATTCGCGTCGAATTAAATTAGAGTTGCATGGCAACCATGGCGTATTTATATTTTTAAATTTTAATTGCAAAGCTTTTAAGAATTTAAGTCGCGACTCGCAACTAGCTAAATACTGAAATAAAAATAATCTGTATATGTTATATAAAAAAACGATGTAGTCAACTGTAGTCAACATTTGGCTCAACATTATGTGGCAATTTTCTTGAGTGTATAAACAAAGACTCTTCGGACGACTCACGAAGTAATTTTTGCGGTGATGTATTACAGCTGTCTTTATTTTTGTGCACGACAAACCGGGCAAAAATCTTCTATCAATGATTGCTTTTTAAATGTCGTTGTAATTTGATAGCTGAGAAATGGCTATGAATGCTCCATTTGGGACAGATGAACAACCTAAGATAAATGTAAAAATTGTTGGAGGAAAAGCTTTTGAATTAAAAGAAAGAAATGGCGGGAAACGTGACAGTTTATCAAGAACTCCATATAAATATTCTAGCAAACCTCCTTGGTTTTTGGACGATTTCCACAGCGAAAAAACAAGGTCAAATAAACCTCGTTTAACTTCAATTTCAAGCGTTGCTCCCGAGAAATTGAAGCGACATAAAGGAACTAAAAATAACTATCTGGAAAGAGGTAATCTTGGAGAGAGAAGGGCTAGCGTAATTGATGAAGTGGAAAATGAAAATTTTGACGAAATGCTGTCTCGTCTCCTCTCAGAATTTCCAGCAAAAACATTCAAAGAGATTTATACAGAAATGGCAAGCTTTGATCCAGGATTACAATGTTTTATCAATGAGCACCAAGTTGAGACAACTTTGAAGAGATACAAAGTACCAATACCATTGGGCTTACTGAAAAAGATCTTCTGTAAATTTGTTTCAAAGAGCAACACAAACTTGATAAACTATGAAAATCTCATCAAATACTTGTTTTCATATAGTCTTAAAGGTAGTTCACTCAGATCAACAACATCAAATCATGATAAATTAAAATCAGGTAAAATTAAAATTTATCCTTCGAGTAATACAGAAGTTAGTCCTCAAAGCTGTAATGTAAACAGTAATCCTCAAACAAAACAGTCTTCTTACATGTCACCTCGTAAGTTGGTAAAAAAAGCTATGGATGACAGAGAAGAAGCATATTTGTTAATCCAAATTGAACAAGCATTTAAAGCTAATGGTGAAGAAATCTTAAGGATTCTTGAAAAACTCCACAATGATTTAAGAATGCTGGCAAATGGTACTGAATACGTAAAAGCTGATCAGGTATTTCAGGAGAATTATATTTGATCAATTATTTAATATAAATCTATTTGACAAAATACATTTTGCAATAGAAATGAGTTTATCACCATACCAAAATTTCATATATTTTATAATTTATAAAATATCAAATTTTAGATTGAGCGGACATGTTCATGGCTGCATGTTCCATTGCATCATTCATTACTGGAGAAAATTGTCAATCGATTTAATGTGAAGAAAAATGGTAAAATAAAGTATGGTAAAACTATTCAATTTTTTTGTGAATTTTTAAAGATTCTGTGTCTATAAATATTTGTTTTTCAACAGTTGGAAAGACTTTGTTGAGTTTTTGGAAAAGGGTATCCCATTTTCAGTTGAAAGAAATACAAACACAACAATAAGTGAAATGCCATTAAAACCTTTTTGGGAATGTCGCACACCCTTGGCTCCAGTTTCACCAAGAAAAATGCCAGAAAGCGAAACAAATGAAAGCAATAAAGGTGCATTAATACATTAAAATTAAAAATAAAGACCATACTTGTTATTTCAATGAAAGCAACATTACATTGATACATTGACCATTTTTACTTTTTTCATCAGTTTTATAGTAATGAAAAAACAATTTTCCACTTTTTCATTTCAATTAAAAGACTGCTAAAATTGCAAGTATCAAATTTTCTTTTCCTCAAACAAATAAAAAAAAACACGCTATTTTTGACATCTATGAATTTGAAGTTACTACAATGTGAGAAATGGTTGATGAACGATCGTTGATTTTTTCTCTGGCTTTTAATAAAATTTCTCAAGGTTTTTATTAAAAGAAGCAGGGCAAATTTTGGTTGTCTCCACCGCTAGCTTTTTCATAAATGCCGAATGTCCGGTTTAACAGGGTGATCAAGTTTGATAACCAATGTAAGAATATGTAACTACTAAGATTATCATTAGGACTGATTCTGTTTTACAATCATTTCCTTTGACTTTGATCGATACGGAATAAAAAGTGTTGTTTCTCCCTGCGAACTTGCACAAAATCACATTCATATTAATCAAATTCAGAAATAACACGTGCTGAAAAGAAGCAATATCCTCCGATTGCTGTAAAACAGAATGTTGACAAAGATTATGAAAAAGCAATAGATACGTTAAAAAGGTATCAAAACACCGTTCATAATGAAACGAATAACTAATGTACATTCATATAGGGCTTGAATATTATAAAGCGTTTAACAGAAATAAATTTTATTTCCTTCTCTAAAGCTTCTGTTTAGTTGTAAAAGATGCTGATGAATTTCTTGCACACTTTTCTTTCTTTGAGTATAATTACTGTGGTTAAATACTTAAATTTAATGCTTAAAAGGATGTGAATATTTTTAAATTTTTTTTTGTAGCTCATATGACTTACTAAAAATACGAAATGAAGAGGAAAATTACCTTAGTGCAAGCACTGGGCATTCAATGCCGTTAAAGGCTGAGATCTCTACAAAACCAGACACGGTGGATAAAGACGAAGCTGACGAATATTTGGATGAAAAATTAGAGCGATTCTCGCACCTTACTGCAGCTATATTGAGATCAGATTTAGATAAAACTGGTTGGTTTTCCGGCAAAGATTTATATTTGCATGAAAGTTATACCGTCCATGTTGAAATTTTTTTTCTTGTTTCTTAAGATACTATGACTCAAAAACACCTTAAAAATACTTACCAACCTTCTTTATTTGCTCTTTTTTTTACAGGTACATTGAAAGCAAAGGATGCACTAAGAATTGTAAACAATTATAATTTGATTTATAACTTAAATTTAGCGGAAGAAAATGTTCGTGAAATGACTCAACGTAGTACTGTGAAAAACACAAACGATGTTGTTATTGACAAACTTGTAAAGTCACTGTGGGAATTGATGAAAACAGCTGAGTAAAAGATTGAAGATCTTCCTCACTTAACTATTCTCTTTACATGAAAAACACATCAGTTACGTTGAAATACTTACGTCTTAATACATGCATGTTGATATGTAGTATATAAAATAAACGAGGAAATAGTTATTATTTCCATCAAAAACTAAACTCACTGTGATTCACTATATTATTTAATGAAAAAGCTCTCTACACTTTAACCTCATTAGTGGCTATACATCTACGCATTATATGGAAAAAATGTTAATTTCAACTGTCTCTTTTACTTCCAAATTCAATATCTTTATCTTCTACGAAATGTTAAGTCTTATGCAGATCATTCCATCATTTTTTCCATATCATAAAAAACTTCTAAAAGACAACTCATTGACCAGGCTTGAACATCACAGCTGTCTTTACAGTATCCTCCATTAACATTTGTCAACTCTGGTAGGCCAAGCCACGGCGAGTTTATTAAATGTTTATGATGCTTAGACAAGATAATTCTTACTTCTTCACATGTGCTCGCAAACTGCCTGTCACCACCAATCTTCTTTGAGAAATAAAGACGAGCTCTAAGGTATGGTCCAAGAACCCACAGCCATTCCTAAAATGATACCACATTCAAAACTTCTACAGTTTTGTCACTTGCCTTCCACAATGAAAATGCACTAAATTTATCTTTCAGAATAATTCACAGCACAGAAAAGGTAGGCCATGTTTGTTACAGCTCAAACATGCCCCTCCCCCATCAGGGAAAACACATTTCCTTAATATATTTTGATATAGTTACACTTTTACCGGTCCTTGGTGGTAGTTAAATCCACGTGCATTTTTGTAATTCTCGGAATCCTGAGAATTATCATAAATTCCGTCATACGCCCAATCACTAAATGAAAATCAAAAATGTTAGCGCAGCAATACACTAGTGAAGGTATTGTGGTCATTATCTCTTACTCTGGATCTAATGTTCCCACACCAAGTGGACCACAAAGATGTTTCCTTATCATTTCAAGTGCCACCCATGCATTCTTTGCTACAAACATTTCAGGAGCCTAGAAAAAACATAATCTTTTTAATTTATCTAAATTTAAGGAGAAATTCAGGAGGAGAAACTATTTTTGATCATTTATTCACGTGAATTGCTTTGGTTGGAAATGGATAAAGTTGCAAAAAAACTAAAACTAAGTTCAGAAAAACAACATTTCCACCGTGAACACAGTGTAAAATTCACGTTATTCTTTGGCGAGTGCCATCAGTGGAATTTTTTACGAGCACGCAGATCAGTGAGAATTAAAAAACACCAGAACTTACCACGGCCATCGCCAAGGGGAAATTCGGTCTAAGTTGGTAATCGGTAAAAGGATGGCTTGATTTGTAACAATCTTTATAAATTCCCCTTTTATGCACAAGTCCCATTTCAGAACCTTCCATTTCAATATTTGGCTCTTCAGAAATCCAAAACTTCTTCTCAAAAGAGTTCTGTATTTTTTTCTCCCATTCTACATAAGTCCATTTTTCTGAAGATAAGCAAAATTAAGAAAAAAGTTATCAATACAAAAATATCCTTCGTGATGAATATGTGATAAGAATATGAAAAAAAGTCACATTTACCTCCCTTGTCGTCTTCTACTCCATCATAAGGGAATACCTTCTTTTTTGCACAATCAGCAAGCCATCGTACCGTTGATTTACAAAGACCAACAATCTCAATAGCACTGCCGTCCCTGTGAATTGAACATTGCCATGTGATAATTAAATAAGAAATCTAACCAATTATTCCCAAATACAATTCTTTTCCTATTATCCTATACATAATCTATACCTTGGCGTAGTAGGTACGCCAGCATTTCCTGCTGTATGCGATTCACCTATCTTATCCATCCATGTACCGTTGTTCCATTCATTTCCTCCAAAAACAAACCCAGTTTGTCGATCCACTCCAATCTTGACGTTGAATGCTTCATCTCGAGAGTTTTTCTCTATGTCGGGACCGGCATTTCGTTCACGAAACTCGATACCAGAAAAATGACGTTGCATTATTTCTTGAATGACGTCATGCAACGGTTGCTCCTACACGAGTTATGAATGAAAGATATTGAACAACTTTATGTTGTACACTAAACATAATTTATGTCCAGGTGTACAAAATTGTTAAAACTCAATGAGAAAGATTACGTTTTTTCTTTCCTATGTAGTACCTGAAAAAGAGTCAAATGTGAAAAAGAGTGAAACAAATGATAATTTTCATGAATGCAATGCATGCATTTCATCCCATTGAGTTGTGCTTACAATACCTATGTCACAATAACCTATGAAAAACCTATATACCTATGTCACTATACCTATATACCTTACTATACCTATGTCACTGAAACTATTGAGTTATGTTTTTTATGTGCTTACAAAACATCTATGATTAGCATAAGTAAAATAAATTTAGATCAAAATCATCCATCTCCTTCTGGAGGTTATGTGTAATTTTAAAAATATCTTTAAAAAAATGGAATTTATTTTGGTTTATATAAAACACTACATTGTAGGGAAATAACACATTACGTCACATATAGTTGAAATGTGTAAAAGTTGAAGACATGAACTCACAACTTCTCCAGGTAATAATGATGGTGAATCATCATAAGGATACATTCTTGTCACAGGATCTTTCAATATAACACTACCACCTGCAACTATACGAGAATAATCTTGAACAGCTTGCAACCACCACCATGTTGCGTCACGACAGTTGTATCTTGCTCCTGTTCCACCATTTAACAAGTTAGGAATTAATCCATGACGAACGCAACCGCCGTAGGCTAATATCAAATTTCTTTATAAAATCAACAATCACGAATTAATGTCGTCATTTCGTGAATCATTACATGTATGATTATGAAATAACAGCAATGAAATGCGTGCGCTGATTGCTCGATAGCTGAGTTTGCATTAGACTGTGCAAACCAATCTGAGCTCAACCAATCAAATCAATGAAAGAAAATTTGTGTATCAATAATGAACACATGTAAGAAAAAGAGTGAAACATTTGTTTTAAATTTATCTGTTTTGCATTATTGTAATTTTAAAAAAGAAAGAAAAGATATTTACTGTGTTTGCACAGGTTCATGCAAACCTCGGAGACCTTAGTGAGAACTCCTGAGCATGTGCAACCTTCGGTCTCGGGCTTGCACTGATCAACTCTCAAGTTCTCCCAAAGGTCTCTTGGGTTTGCAAAAGCCTGTACAAACACAGTAAACATTTTTTATTTCTTAAGTAAACTCTTTTTTATAAAATGAAAATGAGTTATCATTAAGTCACATGACATAAACCTCTTTTGTTAACCTTAATACAAAACATGAAAATGCAATAGTAAATACTTTCCCCATTATGAAGTCGTAACGTATAACTCTCAAAAATTTCTTTGGTTGCAAAAAACTCCATTATACTTAGGAGACTTTATGGGGAGGTGTTAAAAACAGACACAAACGTTTACCTTGCTTCTTTATAACGTCCTGTGACCAACAATAACCCTCGAAGTGAAATAAACGTATCTCGTCCCCAGCTTCTCCACAATCCGACTGAGAAATGAGGCAATCCCGCAGAAATAGTAAGAAGCTGAAGGTCCTCGTTGGCCTTTTCATTGATTTCACACAAATTGGGAGATAAGCCAGGTAATGGGGCAGATCTGGTTGAACCTACCAATTGGATGGAGCCCATTGCTAATGACTTGACTAAATCTGATCCATTCTGGATGAAGCTGGTTGAAACGAAACAAAATATTTTAGTTTTTTAAATGAATCAAAGCAGTAAAAATTGAATTCCCCAAAAATGAAGTCCTTTGTAAAACCTTTGACTTTTAGTGTTCCTATAAGACGAGGCAAATCAAATAACTCCACTATAGACAGACCTGCTCATTTTTTCGAGAGCATGCTCTTTTAGACGCATGTAGACGACAGAAATAAACACATCAAAATAGCCAGGGACCATAAAACGAGGAAGTTTGGAAATATTGTCTATCACACTTTGAAGCCAAACAGCAAACTAAAAAAATTTGCAAAGGAAATATAAGCGGCTTCAAACAAGCTGACTAAACGATATTGATTTGCATTGCTATAAACGATAATGCAACGCAAAAGATAAATCATTGATGTCACTGTTATTAAAAACAATGTCCAAAAAACTATATCTCTCTTGTAAAAGTTACTAAACTGTTGTGTTTTGATCGGACACTTAAAGTTTAGAATAAGGAAAACAAGTGGACCTCTTTAGTTCCTTGAAAACGCATCAAGCGCTGAGCAGTGTAATCCATCAACCAATTTCCTTGTCGGAGATTCTGACATAATGGATGTCCCAAATCATTGTTGGTGCGAATTGATGACATTATTGACATAAAGCCTGTTAAAGATTGATAATTATTGGTATTAGCCATGCCAAAAGCAAATTACGTAAATATTTAGCAAAAGAAATGAGAAAGAAGCGATTAAGCAAATTATGAATTTTGAAGCATGTGGCAACTTTTAAATCCACCATTTGGTTTTAGCGTTCAATAACATACTGAGCTGATCGTTTCATCTCCTTTTCCGTTCCCTCCTCTTTCCTTCCTTCCCCTTTCCTCTCTTTCCTTCCTTCCCCTTTCCCTCCTCTTTCCTTCCTTCCCCTTTCCTCTCTTCCCATCCCCTCCCCTCCTTACTTATCTCATTACCTACATTTCCTATTCAGACAAATATATACCACTGACCTTGAATACCGCAGTAAACCAAAGGTCCAAAGTTAGGGATATCATAAGCTCCTCCATTAAAACCATCAGCTTTCTCTTCGGAGTCACAACGGAATAAAATGCGGTTCATATCAGAAAGAGTAAGCGTTTTAAACATTGAATCACACCGGCTCGATGGATCTGAACTACGCAATCCATTGATTGAATCTCTATACCAAATAAAAAATTCAAGAGCAACATTTTATTATTTTTCCTACAATACTTAAAGTAAGTCGAACTTTGGGTACTTGTCGCAGCAGCTGACATTAAAGTTTATCACTATGTACTTGTTTAATGTGTGGCTTATACTATTCCTACGGAAAAATCACAGGGGATTGATGTCTTTCTTTATTGACTAAAACGACTTTGTAAAATAAATAAAGAAAATTAATAAATAAATCATACAGACCTCACATTCGTAACAGCTTCTTTTACTGATGAAAAAAGCGAAACCTTGAAAGCAATCACACTACCAGAAGGAAACGCGTCAAAATAAACATTTCTGCCTCCTTCAACATTTTCTACTCGCACCATCTGCGATATAAAATACAAAACGGATGTTGAGTATAAAAATCTGTATGAAAACAGAAAAATAGTTCAAATTAATTTTCCAAACAATAAATACTACAAACCTGTGATTCTTCAACAGAAAAATGTTCACGAATATAAACGACGTGGCTCTCAAGTCCATTTATAAAATCATCATTTTTTACAAATTCCTTTGTTCCTACTTTGAACAAAGTTCGACCTTCCAATATTATTTCGTCAATAACTCCTGAAAATAAAATTAATAATCTGATAAATTCACAATGCGAACGCGACCGTTCACGTGAACATCACGATGTGAACGCGACCGTACACGTGAACATCACGATGTATACCTTCAACATGAAGTGGTTTGATATCGTACGTTGCTACATGTTTATTGACAGTACTCGGGACACGATTTTGTTCAGGTTTTGTAAATGACGTATGTGCAACAAGAACGACAGTGGAATGGTTCTCAGGACAATGACGAGTTACAGCAACTATGTCGTAGTTCATTTGATCAACATAAACCTACAAACAAAAATGAAGAATACTCAATTTTAAACACAAAACCAATTCAATAAGATTGAGTTTTTACTATTTTGTTACTGAGGCAAAACTAGCAATGGACATAAAAGGAAGGAAAAGGACAAAACTTATATTTTTTTGGCTGTTTGTTTAAGATTCGCACGCAGTCTTGTGATGTTATAGATGTATTTGATGACCTCATGCGAAAAATATTTCACGAGAAAAATTTTTCCTGTAAAATTTATTTCCATCGCTACCTGTTTATAACCGTCCTTTGCCAGCATTCTGTGAAGTTTGTTAAGGGCACGTCTAGCTAAAATCATCCCAGAATTATCGGGAAGATATGAAATAGTAGTAATATCTTCATTGTTGTTATCTTCCTTCCAGGATTTGTACTTCCTATTGTCAGTCACAACATTCACCTGTAAACATAAAGAAATGATGAAAGAGAAAACGACTCTAAATTTGGGTGACAGCTGTCAAGATGGTGCATAATGTGAGTCCATTTATTAACAAGTACGTATGAGCTTCATCGACAACTTACTTTTTAAATGATCTAAAATATATCATAGCAAGATAAACGACTTACATGATGAGGAACAAACTCGTCATTTCCTCTTGTGCTTCCGGTAGCACAACACGCCATGTTCACCAATGCTGCTGTAGGGAATGAATCATACACCGAACGTACCTAAAGAAATGAGTGAACAACAATCACTGAGCTATATACTCCTGAACATCTCGCTTTAGTGACGACTAGTAGACTATCAATGTATTCCCAATGATGATGACGTCAAACGTTGAAAATACCTCAGTAGGATTAGGATTGTCATGTGTTACATCCATGTAGAGCGCATGCGCGACTGAGTTTACCATGGGTTTACCAGAAAGATGAAAGAAAGCACCAACAGGTTCACCACCGTAACGATAGACAAGTCGACCTTGCTCATGCGAGTCATGCGCAGACATTGCCTCTATGAATATATATATAAAATAACTTACCCTACAACATAACAACGGAAATTGAACATGAAAATTTACGGAGTGAAATAAATGTATGTTAGATCTATAACTGATGCTTTTACCTCTAATAAGTGAGGTCAAACCAAGTCTATTCACAAAGACGTTGTCTGTAAACTCTGATTCAGTGAAAAGTTCCGCAATAACGTAGAGATCAGGACGAACTTGACGAGCTTCATCAATGAAATACTTGAAAATATAAAATTTTTTCGACAATAATACGATGTTGAAAGAAATTTTATTGAAAAAGAAGTTTTTGGTCTATTCAATACAAGTTAAGTGATCGTTCTAGATAAATGAATGTTTCTACCTCAGCAACATGTATAGGTGTACTGTGACAATTGTCCAAACGTATTCCGTGAAAAATACTGAAATATTATAGAAAACGATCATCATACAATATCAACAACTTCTCCGACACGATTAAACATTTAAAAACTATCATTTTGAGCAGCTCATCATATTCTTACCTAGCAGTAAGTTTTACATACTCTAACATATGAGCCCATAGGAAAGGTGCATCTTCAGGTCTTTTTCCATAACGCAGTTTAACACTATCACCCCAAGCAATCACTTCTCTTCTGAGATAAGCGAACGAACCAGGAGCTGCAAAATCGTCAAGAGCACTTCCTCCCATTATCCATCCGGGATGTGCAACAATGTACTTGCAATCTGACGCGTACATCATAGATTCGTTAAATTCAGATGTGTCATATTCATCTTTACTCAGATCGATAAAGTATCTAAATCACAAGCAAGCTTAGTGACAAGCATTTTTCATTGGACAGATATTTATTTTTTAGTCAGTTTGCTGCCAAACAGATTTTCATGCTTATATATTCAACACTAACAATGAAAAACAACTGAGCAAGCCCTTCAAAATTCTGAAATATAGTATTAATATTTAACCAGCTTTCAAACACAAAAAGGTAAAAACTCTTCGTCATATTACACACTTGATAATATCAATCACTTTGACAGACAAAGGACATTCAATATTTATGCATCAACTTCAATATCGACAAGAACTTTGTTTCTTACCGAGTGACGAGAGGATGATACTGAGTAAGATAGCCAAGTTTTGGACCATTTGAATCAAGACGTTCATATTGGACAGTTGAAACAATATTATGAGTTATTGTTCTTATGTGGTCAGCGATATCGTCATAAATTATCTTGTTGTTCAGACTTTCTAAAATAATCTGCAGAGACGAGCAACAATGCTCAACCCATTCCTTATCTCTCAGTGATGTTTTCCTGTAAAAAATATTTTAAATGTGTTGTCCTAAAATGTATTCATAAAAATATATGGAGAAACTTATTTTCAAAACAAAAAGCAAAGTTTGCTCGAACATTTGATAAAGCAATTCACTTTAAGAATTTACTGTTTGTCTTGATAACTACCTGTTAAGAAGTATACAAAAATCCACTAATTCTATAAGTGGAACAAAGCAGTTTTAAGGTCATACCTATTAGATATGTACCAACTAACAGCTTTCTTTATATCAATACTGCTACCGAGACGCTTGTATTCAGGATCCTGAACGACAAGAATTTCGGGAGAAACGCTGCCTTCGATCATTGTTGATCCCTGTGAATTCTTCATCGCAGCCATTTTCTGCATTAGCGAAACTTTAAATTCATCAACTACTTTGTTCACATCCACTCCATAGAACTCCCAAAGGTTTAGCTCTGGCAATATTTTATTACTAAGAAGAAATTTATAAAAAGTACGATCAACATCTTTGGTCCAAAAATGGAGTATGCTTTCCCCCCTTCCCACCCACTTCAACCCCCAGTTAGACAACGCTCAAAATATTTTGTTATGGTTTGAACTTTCCATGAAACTAAAATTCTTATTATTGACAAAGTGGAAAAATTTGTGGTCCAGTAAACACCTAAGTTGAACAAAGAAAAAGCTAAATATTGGTAGTATATAGCACACCAAGGAATAAAGCTGACAGGGTCGATAATATTTTATACGTTATTTTTCAACAAATTTTCCTGGAGCAATGCGTCATTACATTCTATACTCTAGCCACACAGGATTGCTCGTTCATACTACCTGAGAATTGCATGCAAATGACCAAGTTGTTGCTCATTGTTGATATAAACAGGAATACCACGTGAATCATAAATACCACATGCAATGTCACAAGAGAACCGCCATAAAGCTTGATCAACAACATATGCAGGCCGTAAATGTGGAGAGTTGGACAGATTGTAGGCAGATTCAGGATGATCTTTTAACCATGGGCTACCATTTGCCGTATGGTTGAGTACGATATCACAAATGAAGAACAACTTCCATTTCATGTGAAGTTTTTGGATAATTTTCTTGAGGTCATCAAATTCATATTTTTGGCCATTATCATTAAAAGAACTGTTCAGTTTTAGCTGATCATGGAGTGAATACGCTGAATTAGAACCTCCAAGCTCTTGAACTGGAGTCAAATGGATCATATTGTACCCTGCTTTGTAGCCAACTTTTAAACGTCCTTCCCAACAGGATAATGGACCAAGACATTTTGCTAAATAGGTTTGCAGAGCAATACAGTCAAGTGGAAGAATATTTCCATTGGGAAAAGTCAGTTTCGGATCAACAACAAAATATCCAGAGACTTGTTTTGTTTTCCTTAAAAAATATAATAACGTAAATAAGTATTTTTCAACTCCTACCAAAGATACTGCGGTTATCACCAACTTGTATCATTACATGTTTCTAAATGTTGATCGTCCTGTTGTTGTTGATGTTGACTGACGTTTCGATAATCTTAGCGTCAGAGCAACTACTGCTAAGATTGTAAAACGTCAGAAGATGACCACCGAAGATGACTAACGCTAATGTTGTCGGAATGTCAGTCAACACCAATGACCAACAGTCTTCTTCAGGAATCTACTAATCTGGACAATCCACATTTACAAACATGTAACGATACTACCGGGTTCAGACCATTCAATTTACCATCAACTTGTATGATATATACAACGAACATTCTTTAGATGTTTATATTTACACAATGCAAAATTGTATTAGCGGTCAGGTTACAGATTCAATTGTTATTTATAGGAATGAGATAGAATTACGAGATGTAAAATATGGCAATGTGTCAAATTCAATTAACTTCACGTAACACATTCCAACATAACGTTTTGAAACGAAACGTGTCGTAAAATGACGTATTCCAACATAACGTATTGAAACGAAACGTGTCGTAAATGACGTATTCCAACATAACGTATTGAAACGAAACGTGTCGTAAATGACGTATTCCAACATAACGTATTGAAACGAAACGTGTCGTAAATGACGTATTCCAACATAACGTATTGAAACGAAACGTGTCGTAAAATGACGTATTCCAACATAACGTATTGAAACGAAACTTGTCGTAAAATGACGTATTCCAACATAACGTATTGAAACGAAACTTGTCGTAAAATGACGTATTCCAACATAACGTATTGAAACGAAACGTGTCGTAAAATGACGTATTCCAACATAACGTATTGAAACGAAACGTGTCGTAAAATGACGTATTCCAACATAACGTATTGAAACGAAACGTGTCGTAAAATGACGTATTCCAACATAACGTATTGAAACGAAACGTGTCGTAAAATGACGTATTCCAACGTAACGTATCGTAACATAACGTACCAGTAAATAAAACTAATTTAAATTCAAATGCTATATGTTTATGAACTATTTATAATTGTCACACATTTTTGCTCAAATATAGCAGTGATTTTCAAATGATAAAGAATATTTTGTGGAAGCTAGTTCATAAAAAGAAAAGAACATGCAGATGTAACAGAGAAAAATAAATGATAAATATACATGATATAAATGTTGGCTTTAAAAATTGGTCTCAGTAATGACAATGTATGCATCCAGTTATAATCACTTAAAGCAGTTCAGTTTCATGATTGATGAAAAGATAAGTTAAGTTTTACTACATTAAATACTATTCAATAGAGTATTTCACTTACTTTTCATTATCCAAATATTGAAAGTAGAAATGGAAGGATCCTGAAACATATGTTTCAATCTCAGCATATCGATCACCATCATGACATTTACAACTGGATGATTTCTGCCATGTCAGTTCGTGATAACGACTTCGTTTGAATGCCTTTCCTTTTTCTGGGTGATTACAAAACAGCTTGCCAGGGTAAGGCTGTAGTTCAGGACTCAAGGAAAATTTTAATTTGAGACCTAGAAAGTACAATTTCAACATTGCTTTTATTGTAACTGGCCACCACTCAATCATAATGTAATATCATAATGAGATAATTAATGTCACTATATATGCCATATTTAATTGCAGAATTGAACATTGCTCTTTAAACATAGCAGATAATGTAGAAACTTATTTATGCTATACACTAGCAGTCAAAAATAACAATTCACTCATTAGTATTTGTCTCATTTATAACAACACTCCAGCCTTATACATTACACTTCTAACACTATTCCTTCAAATATACATTTTGAAAAAACAACAACAGGCAGATAATCAAAATATTGTCATTCACCCCCAACAAAACAGATGGTATTAGAGTTTCTATTCATGCTTCAAGACTTGCATTTGACATTGGGTATAAAGCCATAAGAAAAAGGGCATTAAATGAAGATATGATCTTCGCACTTTTTGCTGGACAATTTAAGCAATTGTCTCATGAACCTGAAAAATTCAGGTGACTCAACGGGATTCGAACCCATGACATCTGCGGTGCCGGTGCAGTGCTCTAACCAACTGAGCTATGAAGTCACACAGTGGTGAGCAGGTCAATATTGTTGGGCTCATGTTTTCTCGTGAAAGGAATGTCATATGAAAGAGCACTGTACCAGCACCGCAGAGGTCATGGGTTTGAATCCCGTTGAGTCACCTGAATTTTTCAGGTTCATGAGACAATTGCTTAAATTGTCCAGCAAAAATTGCGAAGATCATATCTTCATTTAATTTCAAACACCGCACTGCATATAACAATGTTTCAAAAAGGGCATTGATCTAGAGCCAACAATATTGGGACAAACTTCCCTATTTGGCACAGCTTGAAATTTTGATGATGTTGTTTGCAACTAAAAGTGTAAGTACAAACTGAAGTCTGAAGAAGCAATTGATTAGCAAGGTTTAAGACCACAAGACCTCACGCATAACAAGAAACAAACATTTGACAACATTTGACTCTGAAGATGACTACGGCAGTCAGTCAACAACAACAAAAACAGTCCTTCTCAGGACTATACCAACCTGGACGATCTACATCTACAAACATGCAACGATACTCCCGGGTTCAAACCATTTACTTTACAAGAAACAAACGTTACATAAAAACAGCATGTTGGTGCAAAAGAAGTGTCACATTACCACATAGTCTAAAATTAGTTTCGCGTTGGGTTGGGTTTTTGTAATATGTTTTATGTCAGATATAAGTTTAAGAAATCTATCCAACTATTATGTTTATAGAGTTGAAAATAAACAAGAGTTTTTTGAAAGGTGTTAATGCAAACAAATGTACAATTGATAAAATGCTGCATAAAAGCATGTAATATATCATACGATCCACGTCAAACGTGTCTTTTAATTAAAACCGGTATCACTGATTACCTTTTTGTAGACGAAATAAATGTCTGTTCAAATTCACTTCTGGGTCAAGTTGAAGGATTCGTACAGTGTCAAGAGCTGCCATTGCACTTTACAACGAAACTAAAACACCGCCTTTATTAGTAAATTTTCATACTATAACAACAATTAACATTAATACATTAGATTTTCCTCCTGTTTTGTTTACTTCCTGTAACTTCAGTGGTCACCGCTGCCAACTGGTGGTCGCCGCTAATTTTTTTGCGGTCATTTTCTCGTTTTCATCCATCAAACGTTGGAAAGAAACTGCTCGCATTGTTTGATGGATGTTGTTGGCAAACCATTTTATTATATATTTTTTTAAATTTGTATTTTTTTAATCATGGGCGACGAATCGGTGAAAGAAGATCGTATGATTCATTACGAAAAGCTGCATATGGTTGGGAAGGGTGCATATGGGTAATTAAGATATTAAGATATCAGTGTGAACTTGAATTTAAATGACAATGTAAAACGATTTGAGTAATAATTATCGTCGTTATATCACATTTTCTTGTTTTTTGTCCGATAATCGTTGTTTAATTACTTTTAATACGAAATGAATTAAGCTGCAAAATTTTGTTTAAAGTACGATAGCCGATAGGTATATTTTTAACAAACGTGTGGAGAGAAGAGAGACGGTCAGACGGGTTTTTCAAAACTTGCCACCAGCAAATTTAACGCTTTTCTTTATAATAAAAATTATTACTTAGAGATTTATATCACTTTTTAATGATTAGCTTTTATTAAGTGTAAAAAGCACTTAGTACTTGGAAATAATTAAATATCAAAATGGAAAACATATTTATCTTCACAAGTCGACACAAATTACAAGAAGTCTTTTAAAGACGTGCATCCCAGTCTGTATATGAAATTTTTGAAATTGAGACGTCTAGTGTCTAATAATAAGTTTGGCCAATAAATTCTTCTAATAAAAACTATTTGTCATGTAACATTTGTTGCAATGCATGCTTAGAATGTAGTAGATTTTTTGATGAAATCATTTCGACCTGCACTTTCGATTCTTTCATTTAGAACTGTGTTTTTATGTCGTCGTCGTGAAGACAATGTTGAACTTATTATGAAGGAAATACCTCTTGACGATCTGGAGGCAAATGATAGGGAATCTGCTATGAAAGAAGTAAAAATTTTAGACAAACTAAAACATCCTAATATAATTCGACTTTATGATAGCTTTATTCATGGTGCTATGCTTATAATCATTATGGAGTATGCTGAAGGTACGTAGTCTTAGTTACTACCTCTGATGAAGTTATGTTGCTAACCCTCCCTCTGACATAATGTGGATGTATTACTTCTTCAGAAGATAGTTTACTTTTTTCTGCTAAAGTTAGTTTGTTCCCACTTTAATGATAAGTACATGAAACCATAGTCTTACAAGCTGAGGGTGGGGCGGGTGGCAGACTTTCTAAGTTGGGAAGAGGCAATATTTTTAAGCAAGCAAATAACAGATGATAAGTACATGCAACCACAGGCTTACAAGCTGAGGGTGGGGTGGGTGGAACACCTAAGTTTGAAAGGGGCTTTATTTTTGAGCAAGCAAATAACAGAGATATGGAAGTTTATTATAAAGTGGTGGTTCATTATTTTCTACAAAATGCTTTTATCGATTATTTTCACTGTTGTTTTACATTATTTTTTTGTTTAAAATTTTCCTCAAAATGCACCTTTGATTCCATACACCCCTAGAAAGCCCTAATTCTTGCACCTTTGGTCTCTGGTCTTGTGGCTAGTGAACAGACCACTTGGAGACTTGTGGCTACAGGCTTGGAAAGATATCACTTCACTAAAGTAAATTATTTAAAACCCAAACCTGCACATGACTGTATATTACAATGTTTCAACTGGCTCTTGAAACATTAAAAATTTTGGCAACTAAGCTACCCTCAGAAATTGAAGCTGCGGTATGCATATGCATGCATGCAATGTAGATAAATTTATTTCTCAATATGTTTTATGTTTCAAGTGTTGTTTTTTGACGTTTTTCTCAGGGGGAACTTTGTTTGATTTTCTGCAAAAGTACAAGGGAAAAGGGAAAACTATAAGTGAAAAGGTAAAAAGAAGAATCTATTGTCTATTATTATTGTTGTAGCAGTTCTATATTTTACCAATTGATCGTATTGCAAACTTAGTCTTGCATTCTTGTACATTTTAATCCATACAAGTCTCCCCAGTTGACCACCTATACAAGTCCTCCCCAGTTGTGACCACCTAAACAAGTCTCCCCAGTTGTGACCACCTAAACAAGTCTCCCCAGTTGACCACATATTCAAATTAACCCTACTTCACCACATATACAAATTAACCCTAGTTTCCCACCTATGCCTTGGTTTTTTGAAGACCTATTTGCAAAATGCAAACTTTTATTTCTCAAACTTAGCAAATTTTCTCTTGTAGAAAATACTCCATCTTTTCGCGCAAATTGCCGTCTCACTTAGTTATATTCATTCACAACGAATTTTGCACCGAGATATGAAAACATCAAATATCTTTCTTAACAAAAAAATGGATGTTGTTAAAGTAGGAGACTTCGGTATCTCGTGTATTCTGAACTCAAGAAGTAAGGCACTTTCTGTAAGTAAATAAAGTTAAAATATCCGTTTTTGTGGTGTGTAATTTTTGAAACAGACGTGGTACGTACGTAAGGAACAACAACAGATTTTCTTAAGATTTCTTTTTGTAAACTTCTGTAAATCGGAAGAAGCTTTACATGCTTAAAATGTATGATATGATTTAGATGCACATGTTATTTGTGTGTAGGACAGCGACAATATGTCAGTTGAGCAAAAGAACATTTATTAAAATACATTCAACGATAATCACAGTTTTATAATGCAACACCACCACTTATTATCATACATTTAGATAAAATATACGTACGTACATGTTTAGTTGTTTTTACTTTTTAAAGATTATTGGTACTCCGTCGTATATTTCTCCAGAACTTTGTGAAAATCAACCGTATCCTTTGTTGTAATGAATTTAGATTGTATGATGTTTTTTGACATGCAACTGCAGAGTTATTGCTTATCCATGTAGTGTGAGATCCGAAAAATAATGTGGCCATGTCTTTGTTACCGTCCCTTGCATCATTTTATTTACTCATTTAGCTACATCGATATTTTTACATCGTTTCTTTTATGTTATATCATCGCCTTAACTGCACAAAATACTTAGCTACAACAGAAAAAGTGATATCTGGGCTTTGGGTTGCATTCTTTATGAGATGATTGCTCTTAACAAAGCGTTTGAAGCGCTGGTAAGTCATTTTTGTATGTTCAAATTGGGGTTATTGAGGCAGTGGTAGATCTTATACAATTGACTGCTGTTTTCATTTATTTAACCCAGAATTTGCCAGCTTTAGTAAAAAAAATCTTAACTGCTGCAGTTCCACCTTTGACTGGAAAATACAGTGACGACATCAAGGAATTGGTGAAAAAACTGTTGAGTCGTGATCCTGAACAACGTCCAAGCATTAAAGATGTTTTATCTAGTCCATTGCTTATAAATATATTCATGGATCTACCAATCAATATAGGAAGACCAAAAGGAATTAGGTACAATTAACATTTAGCTGCATGAACTATAATAAAAACGCTGTGGAAGGCTTGTCAAGATCGAAAATTCCTTCTATAGCTAATTCTTCTTGACAATATTCACACACATTCACAATGTCCTTCACATAAATAGTTGTTACATTTAATGAATATACTAACTATATATTACAAGTGAATAGGCACTTTGTTTGACGCTTGGAAGCGATGCAACAAACAAATATTCTTTATTAGCCACTTCTAAAACCTTTGGCATCAAACATTTATCAAGCGAGTTTTCTTCATTCCTGCATAACAACTGTGTAAAAAAGCTTGAATAAACTTAAATAATGGTGTTTTTTCGTTTACCTTTTAATTTTAGTGTCGCAGCCACAGCTCATCCATCATCTCTAGCATCTTTGGGATTACATTTAGGTAACCTTACTATACGTAGATATGTGTTTTGGAGACATCTTCCTTCAGTTATCGTTTTATACAACTGTATATATGCAACTTTTTTATGTTTAAAACTGATATGTTTAGATAGGACGTCCTTTTGTCGTTTTTTTTATATATAATTGTTTTAACTATAATTGTGTGATCTTTTTCGTTTATTGAACATTATGTATTATTTTATGATTCGTAATTTTCTCTTCTCAAGAGGCGGAAGGATTAGAAAATAAGAACGAACTACCTGCAACTGTATATCGTTGGGGTGAGGGTTTACTTAAACCCACTGCCCGCCAGCTGCCTGTTCAGACAGAAGTGGAAATTGTTCAAGTAGCAATTGGCCGAATTAAAAATATTGGTTTGACTTCAAAGGGACAACTTTTACAATGGGAGGTTGTTTATGCAACAAAAAATGATGTTTTGCCTGGAACTGTTTAAAAACAAGTTATACTCATGTTGATAGTAGTTTTAAATAGAAGGCACTATTCCATAATCGCAGCCTAGAAAACTTTCTTTGTGTTCAAAATTGACAATTTGACATTTCACGTTTAGTTGTCATACATAAACGTCTGTGAAATGTTACCAAATTTATACAAGAAGTTGTATCACGTGTTTTGCATTTTAACCAATCATTTTCTTCCCTGCAAGTGTTTTTTTTTTCTCTTCAGACTTCAGTTTGTCATAACAGCACAAGAGAAGCCACGGATAAGGAAGTTAGTGGTGAAAATAGCATTCCTAAGTTCATTGAATGTCATACTGGTGTATCCGTTTCACAAGTGAGCTGTGGTGATATGTTTTATGCTTGTGTAACTGGTAAGCTTTAGTTCAGATTTTTTTCATTTAGACCTCTCTCCAGAATCTCGAAATAGAGTGAGATTTGCTTGTGTGTATTGTTCATGCAACAGAGATTTTTTTCATTCACGGGCTAAATAATAAGTAACATGAGCGTTTTATATTAAAACTACCCACAATTCATCATTTGTTCAACTTGCTTGAATGTTTGTACTATATTCTTACGTTGTACATCTTTGTAAACAACAAAATGATGGTGATCAACCAGAGGTGAAACTAGAACGTTCATTTGGAGGAGTGGGGGAGGTGTATATTCAAATATTCAGTTGTGCCCAACTAATTTCCTTTGAAAGTTAATTTACCTCTGTGGTCAACTTCCATCAATTTTAAAATTACTCTCGGAATGGCATTCGATCTCTTTGCCTGAAATAGAAACCTTTTTCAACACTTATATTCAATTATCAGTCCAGAACACCGAATTATTCACTCATTTCACTGGGGATCGTTGAAATATTGCAATATTTTGCAGGTAATGGGATTTTAATGACATTTGGTAACGGATCCAATGGGTGTCTTGGCCACGGTAATTTATTGGATGTAAAAGAGGTTTGTACAAATACATTTGCGATGATAAACGCCTGTGAAATGATATTTATTATTATTTGATGATCTTCTTCAGCCTAAGATTGTCGCACCACTTATTGGAAAACAAGTAGTAAAAGTTTCTTGTGGTGCAGTGCACGTCATGGCAGTTACTGGTATTTAAAGACTTAAAGACATTTATACTTTAGTAAAATTTGCAGAATTGCACAGTTTAACGTGTTTCCATTATTAGTTACTTTTTCTTTTTTCTTTATTTGTAAGCGGATCGTTCTGTGTTTTCTTGGGGAAAAGGCGATACTGGTAAATATCTTTATCAATTAGCTTTGCCATCGTCAGTTACATCGTCTGGATTATTACCAATTACATCATTTATAATTTTATCTATTACATCGTTCATTACGTCATCTTTCACATCGTTTATTTCATCATCTTTTGCATCATTCATTACATCATCATTATTGCGTCATTATCATTTGCTCCGACAAATGTGTTATATCTTCTGATGTGTAATTCATCGTAAAACTAGTTGCAAAATTAAATGAAGATATGATCTTCGCACTTCTGCTGGACAATTTAAGCAATTGTCTCATGAACCTGAAAAATTCAGGTGACTCAACGGACAATGAGACTATTGCTTAAATTGTCCAGCAGAAGTGCGAAGATCATATCTTCATTTAAAGTCTTCCTTCATGTTGGAGAAATGAGAAGAAATTTACTGTTTATCTGTGATGTGGGGGAAATTTTTTTGTTTTTCGTATTATTTTGGAAGTTTTAAGATTCGTATTTGTAGGTCGTCTTGGTCACAGCAATGATGAAATTTGTAACAAGCCGAAATCGATTATATTACCGGACAATTGCGAACCTTTGTCGTGTTTTTGTGGATCTGATTGCTCGGTTATTATAACTTGTGAGAACAAAGTTTTGGTCTGTGGCGGAAACAGGTGAAGTTTTAGACACAATGAAATAAATCTTCACCCGAATTTCCCGCGCGATGAAATGTTTGCACTACATTGCTACTTGCACAGTTTGCACTACATTGCTACTTGCAAAGTTTGCACGACATTACTACTTGCAAAGTTTGCACTACATTGCTACTTGCAAAGTTTGCACTACATTGCTACTTGCAAAGTTTGCACTACATTGCTACTTGCAAAGTTTGCACTACATTGCTACTTGCAAAGTTTGCACTACATTGCTACTTCATTGCTACTTGCAAAGTTTGCACGACATTACTACTTGCAAAGTTTGCACTACATTGCTACTTGCAAAGTTTGCACTACATTGCTACTTGCAAAGTTTGCACTACATTGCTACTTGCAAAGTTTGCACTACATTGCTACTTGCAAAGTTTGCACTACATTGCTACTTGCAAAGTTTGCACGACATTACTACTTGCAAAGTTTGCACTACATTTGCAAAGTTTGCACGACATTACTACTTGCAAAGTTTGCACTACATTGCTACTTGCAAAGTTTGCACTACATTGCTACTTGCAAAGTTTGCACTACATTGCTACTTGCAAAGTTTGCACCACATTGCTACAGTGCAAGTTCATAAACAGTGGCGCCGACAGGATTTTATGTTAGGGATGCAAACACCCTTAAAATGTCACTTACGTAGATTACACACTGTTATATTTGACTGACATTTTCAAGCTACGTATGTAAAGACCTTAGTATGAGAAATATTGGGGAAGGACAGTCGCCCTTCACCCTTTTCCTGGCCCCTCCGTTCATAATCTAGATTTAGAGTTTTTACCATTCATTATCTGAATTATTTGGAGGTTATTCGGAGCAGTATAAATGGATTTTTTTTTCACCATAATCTTGTGTGTTTTTTCCACATAGGTTTAATAAAATTGGTTTAAATAACAAAGATGGAACGATGATTGATGAATGTAGTCATTTAGTACCATTCAAACTTCAACCTTTGTCTGATGTATGTGTGAAAGAAGTTGCATTTGGACTCTTCCACACTGCATTTCTAACAGGTTTGTCGAATTTTGTTTGCAAAGTGCTTTTTCGTTGTTTGATTGTTTATTTATTTGCAAGGACACACATAATCTTTAGGTGGGTTTGCATTTTGTAGAGAAAGGAGAATGTTATACATGCGGATCAAACTCATTTGGTCAGCTTGGATTTCCAAAGACTGAATCAAATGATCTTCCTTATCTTGTGGGATCTTTTGAAGAAAAAGTATTTAGTCATATTGCATGTGGTGATACATTTACTGTAGCTGTAACGACAGGTAAAGAAGCCTTTGTAAATTGTCGTTTTTTCTTGACAGTCGAAAGTTTATTAAAGCGTTTTTCCAATTAATATTAAATCTTTATACGATTGGTCATACGATCGAAATTACATATTGGGGAATGAATTCTAATGCCTTTATTTGACTATCTAATGAGGAGCCACCCCACCCCCACCCCCACCCCCCTCAGGTGGGCATTTCGTTATTGCATATCAAGTCACAATGATTGGTCAAAACATTGTTTCAGATGATGAAATATACACATGGGGTAAAGGTGCTCGTGGAAGACTTGGGACTGGAAACGAGGAAGACAGAAGTACGCCAACATTAGTAAAGTTTCAGGAAAAACTACGTTTGATTTCTCTTTCTGCCTATAGAGGGACCACTGTGGCTGTTATTAAAGAAGGTAAAAGGCTGATAAAAACACTCTTTCTCATTATAAGATTAACAATGGGAAATGATTTGATGAAACTGAAAATTTTTAATATTACATGTCGGGAAAAACTGCTCCTTATGTTACAGATTGAAATCTTTTACATGGAATTATTCATGTGTGTTTTAGTTTTATCGTGACGGGAGAGACGTGATTCAGTCCTGAGATAATAAAAATTTGGAGACAGTAAATGATGTTGTTCATGCATTGGGTCTTCCCTTCTTGACGACAAAATTATTTTCCACAAATCGGAAATATCACCCATTGAAGGAAAGCATTAACATAAGTCATAGAACGTCAATATCTATGCCATAGAAGAACTATTTACGCTGCTGATCATTTTTAAAGGAGCCGTTTCATATGTGCCATCTTACATTTTGATTCTCGGTTATATTGACGTATCGTACATGACGTACGGCGTCTACCGCTGATCGTCCCCACGCGGGATTCGTTCTAGATTCCTAAATTAAATATCAGGTTTCAAAAATTGTGTGAATGGACAAAAAATTCATTTTTTTAAGAAACATAATGGTCAATAACGGTTTAAAATATGCCAGCTGGATTCATGAATGTATAAACCTAGTTAGAGTACGTAGGTCGGCGTTTTCTGACTTGGATAGAATATGTAGAATTATGTTAAAATGTCATGGAGTCAGTCATTCTGATACTGTTAGTGATCTGGAAATTATGGTCCAACAAGGTGTTGTCAGTCGTCGAGCTTTTAAAGGAGTAATATCATATCGTAATGTGAGTGGTAAGGGTCAAAGCCATGTACCCGGACGCTCATCGCGTGTAGGGAGATGGATTCATGAGGCTTTAAAAGAGCTTGACTCAGGACAAGGAGTTGGAATGATGGAAATCGAAAAATGGGTTATGACGAGTCATCCTTATTATCATAATTTAAAGGGAAAAATTAAAGGGGCCCTCAAAGAAGACTTGGATTTGGGAAAGATATGGCAAATTTCAGAGGGAAAGTATAGACTTCTAGAGGCTGCAGAGGTATTTGTGTACTATGATAATAATTTGTCTCTGATTAGAATCATTGTGCTTTTTATATGTTGTATGCCATCTTTAATTGTGTTTAATCAAAAATCTAAGAGTCCTGAAAGAAAGATTTTGGACAGAAGTTTGGTTTGTGACTTTTGTTTACAAACAGCTGAAAGTAACAGGAAAGGTGAACATGAAGATTTGTTGATTTGCCGTGATTGTGGAAATCGAGGTTTGTAAACTATTCAATGATCATGCATTGCTAATTATTTTAACTTCTTGTCAATTTGCTTTTTTTTTATCATTTAGCACATCCCTCATGCATGGATTATTCAGTAGAATTAACAGCAAGAATTAGAGCTGATGGTGGCTCATGGCAATGTATTGATTGTAAAGCATGTGTTATGTGCCAAGATTCTGGTGATCCTGTAAGACGATGCATCATGATATCCTATAACAATTTGTTTACTCTGACTTCCTTACTACCAGTGTGCAAATTGACGGTGTGCAATGTGCAATTTGCACATCGTTTTAGCTAAAATGAAAACAATTGCACATCACTTTTTCAAATGATGTGCAAAAATCAGAGGTTTTAACGAAAAACACTGTCGTAAATCATATGAATTTGTTCACCTTTAAAAGTATTAATTTAGCAATTAGCGCTATATAATAATTAACGTAATATCGATTTGATTATGCTTCTAAAGAAACACTTTTGTCAAAAAAATTGCACATCGTTTTTTCTAAACTAATTTGCACACTGCTTATTACAAAATTTATGTCAAAATATATTATGTATATTGAGAAGGCTGTTTATATATGAAAGGCATTAACCTTAATCTTGCTTAGTCTAATCTAGTAAGAGCCACCACCCCATCTTCAAGCCCCTTTTTTTCCCCATAAGCAACCACCCCTCCTACCAGCCCACACAAGATCACAACCTGCCACTCTTGTAATCATACAATAGATTTTATCACAATTGAATTTAGATGTTTTTTCTATGAGTGTTGTTATAGATATTAAGCAATTTTTAAGTCATTGTCTGCATTATCCTTAACTCCCTGTAACGATTGGTGAATTTTGTAAACATTTAACTTAGAGCTTTCATTTCAATATAATGAAACCTATCCCTAATTGTAATTCATTGTTTTGTTTATAGAGCAGTTTATTGTTTTGTGATGCATGTGATAAAGGATACCATATGCAATGTCACACACCAAAATTGCAGTCAATGCCAACTGGTGAGTCCATTATGTTTGGTTGTGTGTGTAATTTTATATATTAGCAAAAACTTGATGGGTGAGGAATAAGTTGAATAGTTTCAGTTGTGCTTCCTATTTTAATGTCAATAAAGATTTATTGAAAGTGTCTTTACTGAATATCATTAGGTAGACCACTTATTTCCCCGCTTATCCCATAGTGTTTCCCATTGATGTTTGGTAAATAAATATTTGTATTTAGTGTTTAAGACACATATTGTTAGAATTCATCATGAACTGTATTTTTCTTCATGTGGCATTTTACGATTTATTATCTAGGGAAATGGGCTTGTTTTAATTGTGTGAGCACGTTATCACATGAAGAAGTGATGGCAAGTATCCAAGCACCATCAACATTTATTCCAACAAAGTTATGCTCTCCTGTTAAAGAACAGGAGGAGAGTAATATCGAAGCATTGAGTTGTGATGAAGTTATGATAGAAACAGATACAGACACTTGTTTAAAAGGTAACGGTGTTTTTTCGTTAAAGCAAGATCGCCTCTCAAGCAATCTTGCTGGCCTTTTTATACCATATGATATAAAAATAGGTTCATAGAGTACCTAGTTTTGGTAGAACAGTTAAAATTATGTAATTTTCAATTGGTTGTTGTTAGTATATAAGTTTCGACCATGAAGTAGCTAGACTATTTTTTTCACCTTTAGTACCAGATGTAATGATGGAAAATGTTGATGAAGAGGCTAGTGATCTTTTAACGAAGATAAATGATGAAGAAATGTCTACCACAGAAGACATTGTAACAGATTCTTCACCAGCTAAATTTGAGGCTGAACAGTCTAACATTGTCTCCAGTACTGCGGGCATTGCAGGTTTGAAACATTGTCATTCTGAAACTCTTGGGAATCCATTGGGATATGAAATGATATCAACGAATTTAAAAGGTTATGATGTAATTCCATGCTCTTGGGAAAACCAGAAATTGATTAACTGCCATCAATACACTTGATATTGATCCAAGAGTCTTCTCCATTTTCATTTTTGTGTAGTCTTAGACTTTGTTTAAATTTCAAAGGTGTAGTTGAAGACGTGAAAAATGAAAAAGTGTCCACGCCAGCTCCGGAGGCCATTGCTAGTAAACCAAAGAATGCTTTCAGCTGGAACAAAGCAGATGTTGTTGAATACATTAGATCTCTTGGCTTTTCTAAAGAAGCAATGGTCTTTGATGAACAGGTCTGTTTACTATCTACTGTTTGATTAAATTTACCGTCTTTGACCAACGTCAACACCAAGAAATTGATAGTAATAATTTTCAGAAATTGACTGCTCTTTTCATCGTAATAAGTTCTCCCGTCACATCGATCGTCCACTGCTCTTCATTGAATGTAATTCTGCAGTATTTTTCTATCTTTACCTGCGTTTCTAGGACATTGATGGACCTTCATTGATGCTCATGTCGAGAACTGACCTGGTTAAATCACTTCATTTCAAATTGGGACCTGCGCTCAAAATCTACGCCAATATTGCAAAATTGCAGGCACAAAGTCTTCCTCCTGAGTAAATGCTGGTAATTCGTGTGTCACTGGTTTATGAAATAAACGAGTAAAAAACAAAGTTACAAATTATTTTACGGTTTGCTGTGGAAAATATGAAACAACTGGCTCAACACTGTCTAGCTGAATGAATCCACTGGTTTAAGGCTAACGACACGGTGGAGTTTAAAAATTTTCTTTTCCCAGAATTATCTTCTTTTGTTCTTTCAAACCTCTTTTAATTTCCATCTTTGACAACAATTGATATTCAAATTTTTTAAAAGAGTGATATTTACTTTGGTTGATGTTCTAACTTTTGCATTAAACAGACGTAGGTAACAAACAAAAGACAGTTATTACGTGGCTTAGCCTTTGCGTTTGATCACTATTCACCAGATTTATTGTGCGAAAGGAAAGCGCCCCTGGTTTTTGTGTTTTACAAATTTATATTATTGCCTATTTATTTATCTCATTATATTGTGTGTACAATAAAGACCTCGAAACTATCCAGGTAGTGTTGACCATTGAACCAATATGTTTTGTTGGCAAAGTGAGCTATTCATGTTTCATTTTAACGTTTGTGGACACCCTTGTTTATTCGGCATGTCAGAACTTTGTCCCTTAAAAAGGTTCAGTGTATTTAAAATTAAAGTAACAGCTTTTAGTGTGAAAACGATTTCAATGATGTAATTAATAAGTTTAAAACATATTCAAAGCGTATAATAGTGCATATTAAATCGCTTTTAGTCACTTCTAATAAATAACATTTCACTTTTCATTTTCATCAAGGTCGAAGTCAAGGCTAGACGTGTTTGACTTTGTGTGCTCGAACTACCTAACTATTCTGTTTCTTATTTTGCATTATACGGAGAAATATCCTTTTAAAGAAATTTCACAGTACGATGTATCAAGTTTATGATGGACATTTCACAAAACAATGTTGAACTTAGAAAAACAGCGGTTCGAGACCATTGTATGAAACCCGGGTGAACGTTTTTATATGCATCAGGTGACGTGTGGTTTCGCTTCATGTAACATTTCGTCTCAACAGGACACACATCAACCGCTCGTTTTCTCATATAAAACTGCCTTACTTGTTACTTTAAATTGATCTAAATCTTATTATGATCAAAGATTTTAATGGTTGGTCGATTGTGAAATTTAATGGCTGCGATCTTGCCCTTATTGCAGAAGATATCAGTCGACAAAGATTAATCGTGTTTGACGAAGGAAGTTAAGGAGCTGAGTCTTGTATGAACTGTTTCGAGTTTACATCGGTTTAAATAAATTCAAACAAAATTTTTGTAAAGGGAAATACTTGATTAGAATGAGAACAGTTTTATTACACAAGAAAAGAAATGGCACACTACAATCATAATGGTAAAACTACGGACGCGGCGAATAATACATCCATTGGTCCATTCGATACAATTGAAGAGATAAATTTCATCATTGCTAAAGCCAAGCATAATAAAGCCTGCGTAAAGAAGTTTAGTTCATGCACTAAACGCCTGAGTATCGTCCTGAATGGAGCAGAGTCAGAATTTATTCGACAGTCGGAATTTTACAGTGATTTGAAAGAAACGCTTCAGAAAATAAAACATTACGTCTCTGAGAAGGTGTCACAGTCAAAATTGGTTCAAAAACTTCTGAGGAGCAAAGATCAAAAGATGTATAATGAAATTCAAAGTCATGTGGATCAACTCATCACGAGAATTGTCTTTGCATTTGCACAAAGATACAAGTCTACAGTATGAATAGAAAAGATAATATACGTAGTCCATTTATCTTATATTTTATCCAAGTCTTTTTTACTTTTGATAATAAATTAATGGAAAATATACACTGAAATGAGATAAAAAAATCAATTTACATTACTTGGTTAATAATTACATTTACGCAATAATTCAAATCAAAGAGGACCGTGACAAACTGTGCATATTTTCTTTTTCTTAACTATAAGGAAAATTCACACTTCTCAATCAAAATGGACTTCTTCATATGTACAAAGGTAATCAGGGTCAAAAGTTATAAACATTCGTCGTTTACTCCACTTCAGTATAGAGTCTGGTTTCATGCTTTAAATTCTCGGCATTTCTTCCTATTTACTCGCTCCATTACGTCACTGACAAAACGTGCAATAGAAAGTTTGAAAAATGGAACAGTTCCTTATACGTCTAAGTAAAATGTTCCTAATTTCCCTTTACGGTAGGTTGCAATAAAGTTTACTGCTGCTGCATGATAATCTGGAAAACCACCTGTTGGTATACATCTCACAGTTATAATGAATTCAACAAATTTAGTCAATGTATACATGTTATGTAAAACAAACTAAGGCTGTTTCATAGGTCGTATTTTACATGAGCTCAATGCATTTAAAACAAAAGATAATGAGGAATTTTATCTCATTTTCTTTTGTCTTTAATGCATTCGGCTCATATAAAATGCGACGCTTGAAACGGGGCCTTACTTTTACAGAAACGTGATAGGATAAATTACAAAGAACACGTTATCGAAGCCTCATATTCATATATACATATGATCATATAATGCTTTAACAGCAGAAATACTACACATGTACTTGGTAAAAATACGTACCAGCTGTTTCATACTTCATTTTACAAGCAATGTAACGCAGTACAAAATCAATATTATCGCAAGGATCGGGAAGATCGTAAACTTCCATATAACTGTCAAAATAAATACGACAAATATTGGTAGAAATTTCAGAAATATTCAAAGTTCATGGAAATGAATGATTTCTAGCATCGCTGTTTACCGAAATTGTTTCTTTTTATTTAAAGTGTACAGAAGATAATCAGCTATAATATGATGTCCAATCATGTGATCTGGAAAACAGCCTACAAAATTTCACAGCATTAACACGGCCCGTGATCTTCAAGTGTTTACCAGTATAACTTTGCTGTATCAAAGGATTTTATAAAACTAACCAATCAAAGCCAATTTCATCCCCGTTTCTAGCGAGTCAATTTTATGAGATGAAATTCCTAAAAGCATTTCAGATAAAATCAAGTTTATGCGTAAAAATTAATCTAAGAAACAGAATAAATACGCACATACGAGATATACATACGTACCGGGAGAATCAATCGCATACATTTTTGGTTCGTCACAAATCTATGAAAAACCATGTGGATGAAAGTAAAACGAAAAAAATTTTTTTCAAAGTGTGACGTCATTCCACAGCAGCTCCGAAAATGGTCTATTGAAGAATAGTGAATTCAGAGTTTAAAATGTAGCCACCTGAATTTTTTGAAGAACTGATCTTGTAATTCCTGGATCAGCCCCAACTTTAGTTGCTTTTCCTATTTCAATAACAATAGAATAGATGATTGTTTTGTTGTGAAACTTTTAATTTTCAACATATTTGATGACGTAAATTATAATTTACCTTTTCTCAAGTATGTTCTTCTGAATGCATTAATAAGCGAAGATTTACCGACATTTGGTAAACCACACACGAGTAAACGATATGCCTTGTCTGGATTCTAAAGCCATGTAAAATGAAATAAACTAAATGCATAAGTCTCAAAATGCAGTAATTAACAAAACTGAAAAAAAACATGAAAACATTTTTATGCGTCTTATGGATGGACTACTGAAATACTTAGTTTAAGTCTAAGCCAGGACTTAATTTATGCAACTAAAAATATTGGAAGTTTGGTAAAAGAACAATTTTGCTTAGCATTAAAGTGTACTTGGTTGACGGTGATATGAGACGAAAAATTTGTTTGTAATTTTAAATTTATATGTTATATACCCTTCGTTTAAACGTTCCTTCATATTCTGCAATTTGTATTGTGTCAAGAATTTGTTGCACTATCTAAATTTCAAATAAAAAAAATATGATTCAACAAGCAGAAGCTGGTGAAATTAGTTTTGTGCATCTAATGAGTTTCTTTATAATTCACTAACATGACGTACTTTTTGTATGTTCTTTTGTTTTGCATCTTTACTATTTAAAAATATAGGTCTTATACCATTTTCTTCTAAAGATTTTGACAAGCTCTACAAAAGGGAAACAGATAAAAGATACTTCAATTCAATTTTCTTTAGAAATTATTTAAATAACTTTTTATTTTGTACCCCTCTTTTGGGACCGAACCCAAGATCTGCTTTGTTCAAAACAAGAATATGTGGTCGACCAACTAAATTTCTGGAAAACGTTTCATTCCGTCCAGTATATGGTATCTAAATTTGACAACATAATGAATTGAAAAATTTTTATTTACATCACAATAAAAATTAAGTATGTATGTGGTTAGAGGTTGGAAATTCTTTATGCACAATGTTGTGTACTTATGAATCTAAAACAGCAAATGAAAATCATTTCTCATCAATGTTATCTTTGTGAAATAATTATACCCACCCTTGCATCATGCACTTCCAAAACACAATCACATTTTGCTGCTTTTGATTCCATAATGCGTAAACCTGAGAAAAGAATCAACAATGACAATCTTTAGAGAACCATATTGTAGAAAATTGTGCTTTTAACATTGAATGCTAACTTTTGGAGTTGGCAAATTTCTTTAAGAAGATGAGAAGAGGTGCAAAGACTTGCAAAAGAATTAAAGTCTGTCTTGGAGAAAATATACATTAAACACTATAAACATATCCTATGAAGATCATTTTCATTCTGCAACACAAAAATTCTATCCTATGAAGATCATATGCACCAAAAAATTCTATCCTATAAAGATCATCTGCATCACAAACATTCCATCCTATAAAAATCATCTGCACCAAAAATTCTATCCTATGAAGATCATCTGCACCAAAAAATTCTATCCTATGAAGATCATTCTACATCACAAACATTCCATCCTATGAAGATTATCTGCACTACAAACATTTAATCCTGAGTGAGAAATGAAGACCACATTGTATAATATCAACAGTAGCATATCCAGCCTGCAAATGTGGATCTGCTATGCGAGTTTTTCTGTGTTTTACAGAAATGCTATGAAATTTACAAAGCAAACCAAAACTTGCAGGCTGGCTTTGTCACAATGACTAACCTTTGGCCATATGCCCAGGATACCATTTTATTAATGAACTAGGGTGAAAATCAATTGGAAATTGGAAAGTGACACGAAAATTAGCACTTGCCAACCAAACTTCGCTCCTGCTTAAATAAGGTCGGATCAAGGACATTGATAATATAACAATTTCACAATTTCGATCATTGATTGGGGAAATATTGCATTACGGTCTCCGGTATAAAGCGAAAGTCTTGTCTCGACGACAATTGCACTGCACATGCGCAATCGTTATTCCACACTGACGTAACAGTTAAAACAGTATAAGGTACGAGTGTTGAAGAATTTTCTTATATTTTAGAAATTTGCTTATCATGTAATGCAGAACTACAGAACAAATACAACACAATGCAAATTGCAAATAGAACCCTCACTCGGTGGGCGGGGGGCAAGGATGCCTAATACTGCAAGGCATCAATTCATTCATGAATTCGCCATTGTTACGATTAACATGCGATTAACTTATAACTGCTAACTCATACTGTCAACACGTGCAATGCAGATCTCACAGATTAGATGAAAGTAAACTTGCACTAAGGCAGCAACACTCAACGAATTTCCTAAATTATTCATTTGGTACCTTTGATGCTTCCACAAATTGTTATAGTTTTCAAACTTCAATAGCAAGGCAAAGATAGCAAACAAGCAACTTTCTTTCTTTTTTATTTGGGGTCTTTCTTTGATCAGCGTCCCAACGTATTTCTTCCAATTCATATAAAACATTTCAAAGACATGCATGCACAAGAAAACAAACATACGACGCTTATGACACTGTTGACATATTTATATATTCTATTAAATGTTGCCATGGTAACTACAGCAAACATTTCAAATTTTGATAAAAGTTGTGTTAATATTTTAATGATGCCAGTGGGTACAGTAAAAAGTAAAAAACCTTCAATCTTGCTATGGCACGATCTAGATGTTCAACAATTGTGTGTACTTAAGGAAAGTACTGATAAATTAAAGACATTAGCAGAGATGTTTTCCTTAAAAAATTACAAGGATGACTTAAAATCGGCCATTTTGCTAGATTTGTACTTCTACACAATTCAGTTTGCCCTAAAGAATGGATTCAATGATGAACAAACCTCTGGATTTTTTTCAATGATTAAAAGCGTACACGAAATGGCGGTAGAAACTCCATACGGTAATGTCGATGATGTTTATGATTATTTTAAAGAGTTGTTGCTGTGTCATAGCTTGAAACGACCACCGTTTAGTGTGGAATTGTTTAGCTCTAATCAAGTTCAAGCTATTTCAGATTATGTTACGAACACGTATTTTAAACACTTCAAGTTGTATAAGTACACATTCACAGCTAAAGTGAGATTGGATTTGAGATTTGAATACGCAAATGTACCAGAAACACCACCTCCAGATGATGAGGAGAGTGTGGAGAATGAAGGAAAGGATAATGCTGGTGAAGTGAATGACGAAGAAGACAATTCATCTCATGTTAATGAAGATGTTGACTCTCCAGCTTTGAAGGAACTTAAGAATTTCATTACTGCTACCTTGAATGAGCAAATTAAGCAGTTACGATTAACCATTGATGAAGAAATCGCTTCAAGCAATGAAAAACTTTCACAAAAACTTGGCTTTGCTGAAAAAGACGTATCGAAAAGTCCCAAAGGAAGCAGAAAGAAAGGAAGATAACTATTATCTATCTTACTGATTGACTTTGTTTATACATGAAAATATAAACAATAACTTTAGCATTAAAAATCCTTTTTACTCTTCCATTGAAAGTTTATGTCGTATGTTATTCCATCATTACTTATCATTAACTTATTTACTATCATGTACTTTGTTTATCAGTCACTGCTTTTCATTTATTTTTTAAGACTTGTAACTACTTCTTATTTATCTTCATCTGCTTTCATTTTCTATAACTACTTCTTATTTCCTATCATCTACCATCAATTACTGTCAGTTAATTAAATGACAGTAAAATTAAATGTCAAAAACCACCATCAACCTTTATTGACTGGATTGACTACCAATCTCTGATGACGAAAGTAAAAGATACAACAAAGTTATGACCAATGACCATCTATGATAGATATGACGACATGGCTACGGCAGATTACTTATTTTTAATGTAAAGTAAACACGGTAAAATACGGACCGTGGAGAAAGAGTGTTAGAGAGGTACAGTCCCCCAATTAAAATCAGCTCCCGGATCTCAGGTTGTTGCTATATAGATGTCATAGCGGGGCCATAGATGGTTTTCACTGTATATATTTGTTACCTTAGCAACTACCAACATTAGCCGGACAGCCTGATCAAAAAAGTTGTAAATTTGTAAAAATAAACGAGGAATATTACAAGTAGAATTAGAATTATTTAAAAACAGATAAGTCTATTTGGACATTGATATTATGAGTGGTAAGTTGAAACGTTTTATAATGAATGCATCATGTTTAAATTAAATCATGTTACCTGTAAAAATTAGAGAATTTAGTTATTTATTGAGTTGAGCGAACACACACTTCGCCAGAGTTATATAAATTATAAAATGGAATAATTTTTTCGTTGTATTCTTTAAAATTATCTCATTCAATTATCAACACTGTGTTCGTTAGAGGCTTCAAGCTTGCAGCTATGATGTTATCATTGCTAAATTTATTAATTAGTAAATATTAATTAATTTCTTCTAGGTTCACCTGCTGACTGGAAAAAGGCCGAGACTTTGGCTGGAGTTCCTTATTATATAAAGTATTTTTGTTTTGATTATGTTGAGTTCATAAATGATGATTTAATATACATGAAATAATGATATATTATGTTGCTTTTAAAAGTTTTCGGTGGTTTAACCAATACTTTCCCATATTTTATAATGCTTTGTTTAATAGTCATGTTAAAGAAACGACACAATGGGACCATCCTGAACTTACTCAACTTAAGAAAAAAATGAGTAATTATAATATTCATTAATATTTTTAAATCTTATGTAAATAAAACTTTCTCCTTTTACCATCTTACATAACTCAATATGCAAACATAAAAATTTTGGAAACTTTTTTTTATCAAACTGACTAAATATGTTACATTTAATAGCTCTTACTGATTACATTAAATATGGAGCATATCGTACAGCAGTAAAGTTAAGGCAGATTCAAAAAAAGATTCAAGGTAAATAACTGCTATTGCATGTGCATTGTGGCAATTTTATGATTTGAACAATTTTAAGCCTTCCGATCTCCATCACTTTGGATATACGGATTATGGACGGTTTGTAGTTTGACTCAATGCTTTACTTTTTTATAGTTGATTCTGTATATTTGTCTGCAATAAGAGGAGCTATGAATAATCTTGGTTATGAAGAGGAATTTACAGAAGATAAAATAAATGTTGCAGAGCTTCAAAGTATTTTATATGAAATATTCCAGAATGAGTTTGATAGAGGCAATGATGTTGTTGTAAATGATGCAGTAGAGTTAACTCTCAACTGGCTATTGAGTGTGTATGATCAGTAAGTTATAAATTAAGAAATTGTAAGAAGTCGGGACAACTGATATTGTATATGACATATCTTACGACTTTATTTTGCAAAATCTCAACCCAGAGCAATATTGAGGGACTGCAGTGTTGGACAAAAAATTTCCAACAGTATATCCCTTACATGTTTGTAAATGTAGATCGTCCAGGTTGGTATAGTCCTTAGAAGGACTGTTTTTGTTGTTGTTGACTGACGTTTCGATAGCTTAGCGGTAATCATCTTCAGAGTCAAAAACAACAAAAACAGTCCTTCTCAGGACTATACTGGACGATCTACATTTACAAACATGTAACGATACTCCCGGGTTTAAACCATTTACTTTATTATATCCCTTAATTACCAGTGGCAAATCTAGGATAAATCAAAATAAATTACTGCATGCATTTGGCATATATTTACATTTGTAAGAACCTTAGAGACAAGTCCATTGGTAAAATTATATTCTATAGAAATTCAAAACTTCAAAACCAGTAGTTTTGCTTTGAAGTTTAATTTTTCATTTAAAAATGAGGAGTTATAATTTATTTTGACTAATGCTAGATCTGCTATGTTCCCTTACCACTCCAGAGAAGCTCAGTACTCCTTCAGCATTTGATAATTGATATAGTTTGTGGCTTTGCACCTACAAAACTTTGGACTTCAAATCACTACTGACCATTACATGTCCATTTCTTCATATTTTGACAACCTAACTGTGTAACTTTTGCTTAGTGAATGGCAAAAGTCTTTTTTACACTTTCAGAGCACGAAGTGGTTTGGTACGGATTATATCGGTGAAATTAGGTCTTTGTTGTTTGTCAGCAGCAAGTGTTCAAGAAAAGTACAAATGTAGGAACAGCTACAGAAATTAAATCCTCTATTAAACTTAAAAAAAGTTTAATACATATAACATTTAATGCAAATGAATTTTTTGTTTTAGTTTTTTTTGATCAAATTGCTTATAGCAAGGGATTCATCGACAAGAAACGGCTTCGTTTATTTACAAAAGATGTTTTACAGGTAAAAAATTTAGTAAAAAAATGCAGATGACGTTTACCAAAACTGAAATTCCACATTTTCCATAATTTATATCGTTATAATCAAAATTTACTACACTACATGTATATACGCAGAATGGTTATTTCTATTATTATGAAAGAATAAAGCAAAATCCTCTTGTTTTAGATATTAAAATATATCAAAGAATATCATTGTTTTGGAAGATTTGGTATTGAGCCCACCGTGAATAGCTGTTTTGATCGGGTTTGTTTATTAAATTCTAACCTCAACAGGACGATATTTAATTGCTGAAACACTGCAGTAAACAAATCATATCTTACTCTTTACACTGACAACTAAAGCTGGTTCAGTATTTACTCACTTTTCACGTTGTTTCGTAGCTTTGAAAACTCTTTTCAATACTTTCATAGGCTTTTGTCCCTGAAAGGATTACTTTTAAAGAGTTTTTGGATTGGATGATTGATGAGCCCCAAACTTTGGTTTGGTTACCCACTTTGCATCGACTTGCATTGTCAGAAACAGGTTTGCACTGTACTAATGCACCTTTCTATCGATAATGGGGAGTTATTTTTCTCTGTACGTAGTCAAAAATTGTTGCTTTCTCTACGTGGCCAAAAACGTTTTTGCGACCTAAATGTATAAATTGAAATAGCCATCAGTGTCTGCGACAATTCAGCTTTGTTTCGATGTGTTCACGACTATACTTTGGAAACCAAATTTTCTCCACGGAGATGATCGTTATAGCAGCTTTATTTTCATGATATATCATCATAACACTTAAAAATGTACCATCTATTTAGAATAATGATGCGGAAATTCGGTAATTTGTTGTAATTTTTAATTAGTGAAACATGAAGGAAAGTGTAACATTTGCAAAATGTTTCCCATTGTTGGTTTCAGGTGAGTTTATAGAAACGCGACAAATGAAAATTTTTATTGAAAAAAATCGCAATGATTAGTTGAAAATATCTCTCAACTTGTTTAAGGTACCGTTGTTTAAAATGCTTTAACTTCGACATATGTCAGGTATCTCACGAATTTTCTTGCCTATTACATTATAGTGTTGCTATATATGTACGTGTTTTTTTTTGAATTGCTTAGAATTCTTTTGTTTAACAACATAAATTGATGCTTTTATTTCTTATTTGAAAAAAGCAAACCAAGAATTGTGAAGGTTTACTGCAGGTCATGGTCAAGCCTTTATTATGTTTTAGAACTGTTTTTGGTCCGCTCGTGTTGCTAAAAATCATAAAGTTCATCATCAAATGCAAGAATACTGTTTACCTGTATGTTTAAGATTTGTTTTAATTACAGATATTTTGACTGATTAATCTGCCTGCCGAGATCAGCCAACTGTCGTTCAATTGTTTTTTTAGGCTACTCAAAAGGAAGATCTTAAGGATTTCACAAAAGTTTTTAAAACAAAATTTTTGAAAAAAAAGAAAGAGAAAAATACGTCAGGGTTACGATATTTGCCCATTACTTGTGATGAATTCTCTGATAGTTCTGAAACATCTGATGAATGGTACGTAAATGGATTACTTTACAATCTATGAATCGAATCACTTGAGGTATTACCATAGTAATCAGTAATACTAGGGACGTGTAGTAGTACGTAGGGATATCTGACAATGATCATGGTAACAGTAGGTACGTATGTGTAGTAGCTACGTAACCTTTATTATAGTACGTAGGTTGTGTGGTAGTACATATAAGGATGTCTGACAATGATCATGGTAACAGTAGGAATGTGTAGTAGTACATATAGGGATATGTCTGACAATGATCATGGTAACAGTAAGGATGTGTAGTAGTACATATAGGGATATGTTTGACAATGATCATAGTCACAGTAGGGATGTGTAATAACACCTAGAAACGTGGTTTTGAAAGAAATGTCACGAAATGAATTTCTCTTTCGTTGTCTACTTATTTATGATGTTAAGGTCAGACGAGGTGGATGGTTTTGACAGCGAAAGCGAGACGTGTTTTGGATCATATGAAATGACAGCTGAGAGGTATATTTTCAATAAGTCCGGAAGCTCTTTGACAATTTTTTTTTGCTCGCTATCACTTAAATTAAATCGGTGATTTCTCTCTTAACTTCCTGAAAATGATTTTACTCTTAAGTAGGAGTGAAAGACGTCAGAGCGTGCACAAGCTTATCAGATGCGTACTTGAGAGTTTATAAACTTATCTAAGATAAGAGAGAAATGACAGCTTCGATGTTATAAGATACATGGGCGTTAGAAGATCGATAATTAAGGACGCTCATATTCATAAATACATGAGATGCAGTGCTAACCTCCTTTGAAAATTTTTTTTCTCAACAGATTATACAATGAATACATGACTATGAGCCCCCTAATTATCGTTCTTTCTACTCCCATGCCGGATGAAATCCTAATGTTTCCATTTAAAGTTTAATGTTGTAGTATGAAATCTTTTAAATTCAATTACTAGTAAAGACAACTAAAGAACTGTTTTAGGTGGTTGACATTCATTCCTTGTAGCTTTTTATGGTTATCTAATAGTCTCTTTTTTAAGAACACTAACGAAAAATTTACGCAAGCAAATCTGGGAAAATCTCAGAAACATGTTGCAAATCACAGAATTTTGACCTATTTTTAGACACAATGAACATGACATGACGACTTTCAATTCATCGCGGTATGTATATAATCAATTCCATTTTAATCCTGGTTTTGTTTTCTATTGGTTAATACCGTATGTGCGCTTGGCTAGCTCTTGTCTATATCATGCTTTTTATTGTATGTGTAATCAAATTCAACTTCATTTTCCTTCATTGTGTATTATTAACACTTATTAGTTTGTACATGAGCAACTTTTCTTAAAAGCAACTACATAACATACGGAAGACATCATATGATATAATATTCCTATACTTTTTCCTAGCAGTAACAGCTGTCTCCTTTACATTATTTTTTTCATAGTTTAAAGGAAAATTCTCCTCCAACGGTATGTGTGGAATCTTGACCATATTTCTTTAACTGTGATAAAGGTCAGATCCAAATAAATTTTGGGCTTTGTGCTCAATGATACTTGTAGAATAAGGTTGCATTTAATTGTTGTCTTTCATATAACCGTCATTTTAAATAATCGTCTCTTCATAAGCGAAAAGTTACCAAAAGATAAAAGGATTAAGGTTTGTTATAAACTGAAACTTTAGACCAGCACACCATTGCCGACATCCTGCTTGGATAACAATCAAGTAAAAGAAATGGAAGAAATTGTTCAAAGCTTAGAGAATGACAACAAGTATGGATTAAATTATGTCTAATTTTGTCCATCATTCATGTGTTTCCCAACGCATTGCCCGTGTGTTGAACAAACTCATCACATGCGTAAGCGAAAATCTTTGTTTTTATTTATAGATACTTGCGAGGAAAGATTATGGCAATACAACAAGAGTTTGATAGTCGTCATTATTCTCTTCAGTCAATGGAGACTGTAAGTAGGAAAGAAATTGATGAATATAATGAGCGTCTCGAAGCCAAACAAGAAGTTTTAAATGATCATAATCGCCGTCTTCAACAGCAATTGGATAAACTCCGTCACTTATTGCATCAGGTAAAAATCATTGCGAAAAATGTGTAAACGTCACCCTGGTGCACCATGGGAAGATAACCTACGTAGGAAAAATGAATTGAGAATCAAAGTTTGATTCTTAAATTAAAAAATTATTTCTACAACGTATATTTCTTTCAACTTACATTTCCTCTCAAGAACAATGTTTGACAACAGCTGAGTTTTAACCACTAGCATACTGTCGAATTTAAAATCATTAATCATTAAACTTGTTCTGTACTTTTGCTATAGGTTTTTCTTACTTTTCTTGATAAAACAATATTGTTGTTTTGAAATCGCATAACGTGTGCATTGTAAAGGCATTTTAGAATTTTTAAATGACTTAATAACTAGTTCAATAGAATCGTGTTATTTTATTTGTTTTAAGAGCTGTGTCACAAGCTGTGCAACATCTCTTCTCTACGGAAATGACATCGTTATGAAATCACATCACATAATTAGCATCAAGAAATTGTACTTTTTGTCGACAATTACGTAGCATTAAAATATTCAAATTTGGCAGCTTTGCAAATATTTATCTACACATGCATTCATTAGACTGTTTTGTTTGAGCATAAAACGTTCTCACCATGTTGAAAACTTATGTTACAGTATTTAAAATGTTATTATGCTCTGTGATGTCATATTGATGTTATTTGAATAGTAAATAGGGTTAAAAGTCTCTTAAAAAAAGTGAAATAAGTTAATTCTACTGAAAAAGACGTAAAATCGTTTTCTCATGTTCTTACAGTCAAAGTTGTGATAAAAATTCGTAACATGACCACTTCAAAGGCTGTTTTATCTTGACTCATGTTTCTTTTAAGAGCTAACTGCTAAAATTTTTCAACGCTAATAAATTTACTCAAGTATTTGGTATAAGCTCAATAAAAGCAGTTCTAAAAATATGTAATCTGTTGAACCTACTGATTAAACAATCATTGCTAAGTCGAGCGTTTTTTTCGTTTGGCTTATGAGTTGTCAAAAGTTGTTATGTTGCTCTCTTTGCTTTAGCAGAATGCAGCAAGTGCAGAAAATATTTCCAATGAGAGTCAGCGTTATTTACCTATGTCCAATATTCCTAATAAACCAACTCCGTTGCCAAAATTTCACGATGCTCAGTATTCGTTCTTTGCCCAATCAGCAGGGCACAATGGCACTTTCCAGTCATTATCCAAACCTAAAGTTTTACGATCTGTTAATGAAGAATTACGCAAGTACGGCGACAATGAGACTCGTACAAGTGATGATCATAGCACTTCATTATCGTCGGATGAAGATCTTCGAGAAATTAAGGTTGAACTGGAGGAAATACTTGAGATGTCTTCTTCTGTCTGAGATTTTCCTATGAGAGATAACTCTGGTGAGGTTACATATTACATTAATTCTTCTTTGCATGTAAGAGCTTTGTATAGACAATCTCTGAAGGATAGAAATATTTTCCATTCTTTGTGTTAGTTGCGTTATAGTTGCTATTTTGCATGTCTACAATTTTTTATCTACATGTTGATAATTTTACCTTGGGTTCCCACAGTCATTAGTATTTTTAGCAACTCTTTCCTGCACATATTTCATTCATCTCCCTTCGTCATTGTTGTACTGTCTAGCCAAGTTATAGGGCTTGTACGGTCATGAAAAACCTGGAAAGGTTTTACAATTTTGGTGATGAAAGTCATGGAAATTAGTGAAATTCCTCGACCTTTTTTATCACTTTCCAAAATATTTGCAGACTTCTAGACTACTTAATAATTAAATTTGCTGTTAGATGTTTTAGGAAAATTTTCAGTTTTTCATTATTCGTTTGCTATATTTTTTATGGTTTTCGATCTTTCTGTACGCTTTCTTTTAAAAGACTAAAAAACACGCTTTGGTCTCGCGGGCTTCAATCGAACGTTGATTGAGGACAACCATATTTATATATTTTGCAACGCCAAGCTATTTTTTTGAAAGTGGAGTTGTTTTCGAATGAAATTAACCATGGCATAGAAGAATGTATACACCAATATTTTGTTTAATCATATAATAATTAATCCCTGATAGTTTGTTGAATTTATTTTTAAAATATATAGCTTTCTTTTGTTGTATGTTACCATAAAAATGCTTTTTTCTTTTGCCATTAAGATTGGAGCCATTTAAAATACACATTTACGAATGACGAAGAAGAAGTTTAGAACTGCAGGCTTTGTTTAAAAACAACTTCTCTACTGAACGCCTTAAGAATTGAAGAAGATAAGTTTTGAGAATTTTAAAACCTAAATTTAAAGCTAAAATGTAAATTTATTTTTCTTGATAATTATTTAGTTAAGTAAAAAGTTATCTTGCCGTGCATGTGAAGACTTTTGAGCATCACGGAAACTCCATGAAATAAATATTATATTGTTATTTACATGAATGGGTGGAGTAGCAGTTGAGCATTGTCTAATTGTAAGGATGTGTGAAAAGGGGTTAAGTGATGAATTAAGTCGTTTTTTTCTTTGTCGATAACGTTGATGTATTCCTTATGTATAGCTATACACGAACATTCAATTGTTAGATAGAATAGCTTGGAATTTTGATAAAGCGATAAGATAAAATGAAGTATAATCTTCAGAAAGTCGTGCACTGCATGACAAAGACGTTTATTGTAGCATTCTTATACTATTGATTTTGAATAAAACTTGTGTGGCCTTTATTGCGGCATCTTAATGAGCAGTCTGGGATGTAATTAAATTGGACGCTCTCAACACGCTTATATAAAGCGAGAGATTTCGGCACACATTTTAATTATGTTCGTTTCGTAGGTTGAACTGTAAGCATATTTTAAAAGTGGAGAAGAATTAATCATGAAAGTTTGAGTCCAATATATTAAAAATAATTTCTTATCACGCACATTTGGATCATAGGATCGTGAATTGACGGTGTGGTATGATGTATTCTTTGGCTTTTAAATTGGTAAATACATCTGTTGTTTTTCTTTATTATCAACATTCGACAATTATTTTGTTTACGTTGTTTTATTTCAATTTCATAGCTTTTCACAATGATTCTGCTATCACCAGTAGTGTATGGTCTTTCGAACTACGTTCGTCAAACACGCCATCGTTTAAGGAAAGATTGTCCTAAGGTATATAGCATGTCGTAGAAACAGAACACGCACTACATAAAAGTGGATCTTAAGTATAGTTTAGAGTTTAAATCTTCATAAACCACTTCCTCACATATTTTCATGTAAATATTTTACCAGACTTTACCTACATCCGCTCGGAATTATTTTGCAAATCATTCTATCAACTCCAATATGGCCGATTCAAATCGAAATATGGAATGATGGAATATTTTTTTCTCAATATTGTGCTATCCACTAATTTGAATAGCTATATATCTTTTAATTATCTCAACTTTACTGTTTATAGAAAAAGCGCAATTAATTGGTCAACACACTTTGATCGCAAAAACTAAATTTTTATTAAATCCACCTAAAACTTACATGCCAATGGGGTAAATTTTCGTTTATTAGTTCAAATCAAATTCTTGAACCGTACGCACTTCCGATCGTGTTTTTTTCTCTAACATAATTCATATCCGATTTAAGTGCACATGCCATGTGTAATATATGGCAAATATTCATAATTTTGTAGTAATTCCTCAATCGACAATCATTTAAACAATATTATGTACAACAATCTTCTCTATAATAAGATAACAATCTGCCGGAAACACTTACATAGTTATGGCAATACTGAAATATTTCTGCTTTTGTTCAAATTTTGCTTCACTCTTCGAACTTTTCTTGACACTTATAGTACACATTCGCAAAACCTTACATTACATATATTTGGATCAGATTTCTACTTTTTATGGCCTATACTTTTCATTAAAATATTGCAATGACAATTGATGACTGATTAACAAAAATTTCAAAGTGACACATGATAATTGGGTTTAAAGAATTCCCTCGAAGTGGCGAGGTGATGAAGAAAGAAAGAAACAACGACATACATGATTCATATTGTACAAATTAAATACATCAAATATGCCCATATATGTGTTGTCTAATTTTTTTAGAAGAATGAAAGAAATTCTTTTTTATGGACGTTGAGGAAGCATCCTTCGGTGTACATATTTGGTAGTATACATCGTCATATCATACCGCTATGGCGAGAAGTGCCCAAAAATGCGAGAAAAGCTTTTAGAACAAGCAAAAAAGTATATTTTGAAATCGATTTGACAAACCCTGAAGATCTGACGTCAATAGCGACTTGTCGTTATTTCTCGGATAAAAGGACCCTTAAAGATCTTTTGCCACTTGAGCTTTTCAATCGAATTAGCAACTACTTATCGTCGTTCCAATCCCACCTACACCACTCATTGAAGAAGCAAAGTAGTTTGACTTTGAAGGGGTTAAATGCTGACAAGATTTTTCATGACATGACGAGATATTGGCAGTATCAAAGACCAATATGGCTTATCATGTTGTTGGCGTCTCTTCGTCTGGAAAATGTCATCTCCAGGTTTACACCTTCATTAGACTCCGTCTTTTTTTTGAAAAGTTATGCCATGAAAAAGGATATTGGATATTTAGAAAAGCCTGAACAACATTGTGGATTGAACAACGTTAATTCCTCTCAGGTCCACTTATTTTTAAAGCACTTAACATTTCATGCCTTCATATTGTGACTGTGAATTAGCTATCAAAGAGACAGGATAGAGGAGGGCATACGACTGCAGAATTCCTACTTTCAATTATTCTTTTATCTCATGTTGGTTATATAAGCGTCTCAAGAAAATCAGATAACACAAAATCTCACATTAACTAAACTCAAAGGCTCCAATAGATAAAGACTTGTCAAATTGACATGGAAATAAGAGGTTTGGATTTTTCGAGAAGCATGCAACGTGAGCATTTGCATGGCGGTAACGAAACACAATATAACAACTATAACTAACCCCAGTTTAAACTTAAATGCAGCTATGTCCCGGAAAGGTACAGAATATTTCCGAGAGATTTTAATATAAAACATTTCATGAAAATACACGATTGTTTTGCATAGACGCATTTAATAAATGCCTGAAAGAATGTAGCCCTATGGACTATTTATTCAAATCTATAACCATAAATTTGAAGATCCCAGAGGTAGATGAATATAATCTGTTTCTAACAAAGCTAACCCGTTGCTTTTCACTTAGAAGTTAACCGCTTGAACCCTTTTCATGTTTCGTGATTGACACGCCGACTAATCATGCATTACTTTGAATTTTTAGGCAATAATTTATCTGGATGAAGTTTTGAAAAAGTTTAACCATACTTCAAAGATGGCAATAAATATCGTGGATAGTCTAACATATCAATATATATGTGGTAATCTCACTGATTATTTGTTTTCAACGCAAAGGACGACGGGAAGTACAAAAGCACGTCAGCAAGAGCTACAAAACTTTGAAAACTCTCTAAATTATGAGTTGTTTGTACGAAGAAACAAGCGTATGGCTCAAAAAATAATCGAAGAAATAAAGTTTGAACGAGTTAAAAGAAATCGAAAACTCTTTTTTATCACTGGTGTTGGTAAGATTGTTGATTTTCACGAACTGTAGTAATATTCTTGATGTTATATTCATTATATTCACTGTTATATTGACCCAAAAAGACCGAATAAGCACAAATATAAATGGCTTTCCAAAATTTTTAGTAGCAAGTGGTTACAATTTCTTTGCAAATGACTAAAGGGATGTAAGTCATGGTTGAATAAAGAAAAATTTCAAAGAAAACGATCAATAGATAAATTTGACATATTTTAATGTTTTTACAGAACAAACTTTAGTAAGTAACTCTGGGACACTCTACTGAAACATTTTTCGTTTGAAGGTCATCTGCTTGGCAAAGGAAGTATCATTGAGATTATCAAATCTGCAGGCTTGAAGCCAATACATCTTTCAGCTAATGATAAGCTATCAAGGTGAATGTATTTAGCAAAAAATTCCTGTTGCACGCTTATCACTTTTGTTTCTCTTACTTCACTGACTTGTCTTCTTAATTATAAAAAATCACTCAATTTGTTCTTGGTAGTGCTCAAACTGTATCATAAATCTCTTAGACTTTCTGACGTTAACATGATGTGTGTCAGAATTGTTTCAGATTTTTGAAGTACCTACATATTGCTCTGCGAATTCCCAACTCTCTCGTTTGAGGAAGTTCTTAATTAGCCATGTGAATGGCAACTCAGTTCAATACGTTTAAACAAAACATGTTTGATATTTTTTTTACATTCATTACTGATTCATTGTAGCTTTATAAATTTAACTGTGTTTTTCTTCTACATGAATTCAAGCTTCTTACACACTCATACTTGGAAAGTTTTTTGGGGATTGTGCATGTTACGTTGTGGTATGGTTTCTATTGTTTTAGTTTGGATGTTTTTGTAAAAAATGTTTTGTCATCGTCGTTAGAGGTCAACATCTTTGAATCATGAAAAAAAATGTGTTTAATATTGCTCACTCGTGGCACGTGACCATCATGTAATTTCATTACTTGTTGTACATGAACTTTTCTTTTCAATTTTGCCTTAACAAACATTTTTATAGACGAAAACGAAAACTGAGAAAAAATTGGCGAAACAGAAAAACAGAGAAGTTTGTTCGTACCTCGTATGGTATATAAAAGCTTCAATCAGAAAAAATGCTAAAAAAGATACCTAAAAGGTTTGTGCTTTCTTATACGTTTCAGTTAAATACGAATTTTTGGAAAACGAATATACTGTCGGATAAACAGTAGCTATAGAACCTGTGGATAAAATATAATTTCTTATGTTTTCTTACAGACTGTCGAATGATGTTATTTTAGAATTATTATCTACCTTGGTTGCTTTGCTCTTGGCTTGAAATCCTTCCTATTTTACTCGTCAATTTTGCTACCTGAGACAACTATTGCCACCACGTAATTGGTTACAAACGGTCTCTTTAAATAAAAAAGCCACACACTTTCTTCTCAAAATTTTATTTATATTATAGCTAATTATTATGAGAATTATGTTTATTTTCAAACTCTTAACCATATAGATTATGTAATTCACAAAATTTTCACGTACTGGAAAACCGGAAAGTGGAACAAGTACGTTGGCCTGTACTTACCTAGCCTGCATCGCAGACTATATATTTGTAATTATATATGAATAACATTTAGTCTGCAATGTAGGCTAATACTTATCTACAAATAATCACTGCCACACTAGTTAATTAATTGCAAGTGGACTTGTTTGTTTTGATTTCTTTCTGTTTGCGGAGGCTACTTTTTTGTTGGTAATTACAAATTTATATCCATACTATTCAAAATTTTTTGAAGCATAATTTGTAACTTTTCCAAAACTATTAAAGTTTCTATAATGAAATGTTCATTTTTTACTGATTTTCTAGTAATGCATGTTAGCGTCGATTTTCGGAAAATCGAGCAGAAAATGAGTAAAGCTTTTATTACTAACGGTAATCTGCTGTGTGTACGTAAGATAAAATGATAGAATTAATCAAACACAGTCGACCAATCAAAAATAATTTTACAAAATATTTGTGTTAGCAGTTTTATTGCGTGATGACCGGGGGGGATGGTCAGTCAAATACACGTCAAGGTGAACTTCGGACAAATTCTTTATATTTACAGTAGCGTGATGGTGATCTAAAAATATACTAATTTTAATGAATCGAAGCCTTAGGTGAGCTTAGATATTTTAGGTAAGAATATCTATTTTTATTTCGCTTACTCATTTGTCAGTCCTCGACTTTTTGGACAGCGCTGCAAAGATTTTCACACTGTTCTAGACCAATAATATTTATCACAATATTGTGCGAAAAGGAAGTGGTTGGTTGTAGGAACTATTTGGCAATTTTCCGATTTGTTGCGCTTATAAAAATAGACCCACCTTATTTCGTACCGCCTACGTGTAGATTCCTGTCAGTCTTGGTTATTTCTTGGAAAATTGTATAATAAAATTATTCTATTTTAATCGAATAATCTCGTGAAAATATTTGACCATGTCTGCAATAGTCTTCCAAAAAGTTAATGTTTAATTAATTGTCACATGGGAAATTGGAGAGTTTGTAAATTTATTGTTTATTATTATATTTAATCATTACTATAACAACGCCTAACGACAATATAATGCAATATTTAGTTTTTAAATATCTTTTAAATCCTGTATGTACGCTAAAATTCTACAACATTCGTCAAAAGCGAATATATAAAGTAAAAGACTAGGCATGTTTTCTCAACTGGTGGCCATAATATCTAGTTTACATTTATCTTCATAATTTACGTATAACATCGAAGTATTTGATTTATCGTGGTGTAAAAATACCAAGGTTTTTAAAATAAATTAAGAATTAAGTCAATATCTGTGAAGTTACACATAAAGTGCGAAAACTACAGTGTTCTCATATCTCGTGTAAAACAAGCGCATACACACTTGAATTCTTGCGCCTTATCGCACGCTAACTGGTAGTAACTCGTGCATTTTGAAACGGTCACGAATAGCTGGCCGTACATCGCTTCCTGTTGCACCAAATGGTTAAGGAAAGGCAATAAATTCAATAATTCTGTGTCCGAGTGATCGGCAAACCAACTTTCAATTGGTATGCCATTGAACAGTTGATAAGCGAAAGCTTGAGGCGAATTATCCACAATCATAGTTTTCGTCATGTCCCTGCCCAAAATTGTCAGATCTTTGATATAATTGCCGTGAACACAAAGACAATGCTCTCGAAACAAACGATGCCGAAATATCTTTTTCTTTGGGTCCAAAATGTTAATTAGTTTATCAGCGTAAACTCGCTTGGATGCGGTGAACAAAATCACCTCAAATATGTCGGCGACTTCTTCCAGAAATTGATGTAAATGTGGTCTTGTACGTACAAAAACCTGATAAGATATATTTTGATAAAGTACGGGAAAGGTTAAAGCAGCATCTTCGAGTTTATTTAAGCTGCAATGTACGAGAGTTTCGTCAAGGTCTAACACTAACGTGTATTCTGGTGTGCTTCTAGTTCTCAAAGGCAAAACTGGTGTAGAATGATGACGATTGGCATCAGTCAGAGGTGGCAAATGCCGCAAAAAATAGTAAGGATCGTTGTCAGGCCATTCAAACGTTTCATTGTTGTTTGAATTAATTTCTTCAATGTTAGCATTTTCATCCTCTTTTGTATTGTAATTGTCATTTCCTCGATTGTCATTATTTGTTGATTCACACGAGCAAACAGAAGTGTAATTCGAGTTCAAATTTGCTTCATTTATTTCCACAAACTTCCGACTGCTAGACGTCGTGGTTCTAACTTCACCATTTTTCCCAAATAAAGTCAAGACAGGCGAGAATAGTGTCCCAAGAATAGACGAACGTGGCTTATTTCTCGTGGATTCATCGTCCTCAATACAGGCGCCAAATGAAACGTCATTTTCAAATCTGTCACGGTTGTTTGAGTTGATTTTACTCGCTCCATTTAAACGAGGCGATGAAGAAATTAAAGTAAAATCATTTTTCAAGTCAGAATCAATTCGCCGCCTTTTACCGGCAGACACTGGAGTCTTGTTCTCCTTAGTTGGTGTATTACAATTCGACCAAAATAAAGTCTTGATAGATGAGAGAAGGCCACTTTGCTCCTGTACTTCGTCGTTTTCCTCTGGTTTGCCATTGTCAACATCGACTTTAGATTCCACATTGTCCCGTTTTCGCTTCAATGAAGATAATACTACAGACATACTTGCCGTCTAAACAGACATAAACATGTTTATGATATGATTGGATTTAAATCTGTAATAATTCCCCAAGCGATCTTGAGGTATAGCAACTCAATCTAGCATTTCGAGTTAGACGGTAAGCGATGAAATTTCACACTTGATCGCACATAGCACTTGAGATGAATATATAATTTACTCATTCGATACGTTGTATAGAATGACGAGCTCTGATTGGCGGAAACGAATTATGGACTTCGGAACTTTTTCCTGTTTCTTAACAAATACAAACCATTCGCTAACTTCTACCAACAAATCCAATATAATTCTGGCATTCGTCACTCCTTACCTTGTAACATTTTGAAATGTTAACTGAGCACATCTAGGTTGCTGATAAGGTTATTGGCCGGCCCTGGCTTTGCTAACCGGAACAAGATATAGCATAAACTGTCCAGGCGACGCGACCACGTCTTGCAACGCTGGAATAGCTCATATTTTAAGATAATTATGATTAGAAATTCTCACCCCTGATGTAAGACTACAGCAGGCAACAGACACCAAGACGAATGTGGCGGGAATTTTTCAATTTACTGTAATGCAAATTGAATTATTGAAATGTTTGTTTTATGAGATGTAGTAATTGATTTTAGTATTTTTGAATTTAAATATGCTTATTTCTAGTGTAATTGATTGTTAAGTCTCTTCATCATCTTCTCTTAAACTATAGATATATATATGTTTTCAATCATGAAACTGAAAAGCAAATATTTCATTCACTTCAGATTATTAGTTTTAGTTCTTACATACCGGATGTCAAGCGAACTATGTAAATTCCATGTAAATTTTCACATTCATGTAAAATTTGCGTCTGCGCAGTGCGAATGCCGCTTTAATTGCGTAATTAGGAATATGTTAGCATTCAAAGAATTGTGTTCATAACATTTTCATATTGACATCGCTTCTTTGTGCGACTTATTTTGTCAATTTCTTCGTCTTCTGGTCTGAGTTTATCTACACTTTTTATGAAAATTTCGTTGTAAGTATTTTGAAATGTCCTTGATTCGACGTTTAAGTCGTAGATTTTCCAGTCGACCAGCTAGGAGAAGACAAGAATATTCAGATGGTAAATCTAGAGATAAAGACAGCATCGCTTGCAAAGTGAATCTTTTAGATGGTGGAGTGTTATCTTTCAACGTTGAGGTCAGTGGTTTTTGTCGATTGTTTATATTGATTGAGGAAATGTATGTAGTAAGGTAAATTCACTTTAATCAACGAAGTTCGAAGGAAAAATATGAATTAAAGTGTTGAAGTCACTGCTAAATGCTAACGAGAGCTGACTCGATAAAGTGCTAGATAAACATATCTGCCATAATCTAGTACTAGTTGAATCAAATCATTCTTTTCATTGTTTATTTGGTGTCGTGTTGGCATGAAAGGATCAACCGAAAAATGTAATGAATAATTTTAACTTGCATCGGGCCGAAGATGACAATTAATTGTCAAAAGTATTCGAATACAGGCGGAAAGATAATTTTGTCGCATTTTGTTTCAGCGAATAACTATAAGTTATTTTGTATGGTTACATTACCATGTCTGAAAGGCCAATATGATTTATGTATAGTCCGTATGACAGTGATGTCTATATTTATTGGTATTTGACCTTTGATTACTTTAAAGATGGCATACTTCTTTTCAACATGTATTTTTTATTGTAGAATTTTGTTATTCTTTTCAAACAATGAAACGTCATTATTTGAAGTCATTTATGCCAAAAATCCCTTTGCATTGTTGATCATGAGCTGTGTAAAAGAAAAAATCATTTTGACACCCACAAGCTTGCTGTCATTAATTCTTAAGTGGCTATGTTTCTTCTTCCTGCTGTGTGGGCAAAGATGTTTTATTGTGATGTGGCTTTGTCAAATTGTAGATAGTTTGAACATAATTGCTCCCACTTATAAAATCAAAAGACATAAAGCATTTGTTATTCAACTTAGTGCAAGCTGACATTCACAAGTAATAGAGTTTATTTTATGTAATATTTGGTTTTATTTTTTTATTTTTCCATTATTGCTTGTTGAAAGATTCAAATAAGTTTGATAATTCAATTTGCAGAAAAGGTCCATTGGTGATGAACTAATCCAGTTAGTAAACAAGAATCTTGACCTCATTGAGAAAGAATACTTTGGATTGCAATATACTGATTCACAGCAAGTTTTAGTAAGTTTTCTTCCTTTCTCATCTCTATGAAAGCATTCCGAGATGATAAAAAGTAAGATTGATACACATTTAGTACAACAATCTTTCACAAACAATTCTTCCCGGGCATTAATTTAACTTATGATTTAATACCTATCTGCTAACAAGAATTTGGTAGATGGAAGAGAGCTCATGGATTTAAAAAAAACTAATTTAAAAAACTATATTTCAGCATTGGCTTGATCCTTCAAAAAATAAGAAAACAGTTAAGAGGTATGTACAGGATAATGTTTTTGTTTTTATTTAAATTTATGTATGCATGCAATGCTAGTTCTTCACTAACTTGTTGACAGAATCTTAATATATCAAAATATTTTCTTCAGAAAATATACGTAGAATGATAAGTATTTGTTAAAAGTTATTGCTAAATCCTCACATTGTCTGTTTAGGATTTCTAGTGACTTCTTTTGCCCAAGTGTGTCCTCTTGTTTCTTATTTACTACTATGTGTATAAAATTATTTATTGTGTTAATGTTTTGCTTTCATCAGTCATGATTTTATTTTTAAAAAAACAAAATTTTTACATGTGTATGTGTATATATACATAGTTAAGTAATTTAAACTAAATTTTTTGAAGAGTAAACAATGCACATAATTGGCCATTTATGTACATTATCAATTGGTTACATTGAAGTTAAATTGTTTACTTCATGTAACACTGGGCTAGTTGGTGCGAAATTACCTATTTAAACTAATGTGTTTGCATTATAGGACATCAACCATACCAATTCTACTTTCGTGTGAAATTCTATGCACCTGATCCTCATACTTTGGAAGAAGAATTGACTAGGTGTTTCTTATATCCTGTGTTGTTCATGATTATCCATTATGTCTATAATTTTTGGAATGAAATATTTAATTTACTCATTTTTTTTGCCCAACAGATATCACTTTTTCTTGCAAATCAAACAAGATATTTTGGCAAACAGGTGTAATTAAATTCATAAAATAAGTGTGAAAGTTTTTGTTTTGAATTATTATCCTAACCTTGAGTTTCCTTGTTCAGATTAAAGGTTCCTCTGAAGAAATTAGTTGAGATTGCTGCATACAGTTTGCAATGTAAGTGATGAAGGTACACAAACAGATAAAACTAGTTAGATAAGACTTAGTCTTTTCACAAAATAAAGATCTTTGTAAAACATATATTGAGGAACAAAATACAGAAGTCATTCGTTTACGAATGATAAACAACAATAACAGACGGGTCCAGGCCCCTAATTAATTATTGATTATCCCATTATGCTCTACTAGTTGATTTTTTCCTTAACAAATATCTTGTAATAAGATTCTTCCTAGGACCTTAACATGATTTTGTATAAGTATTAATTACGTACATAAATGTTGACTGTCGACTCCCACACCTGCCCACAATACACCTTCTCTATACTCTCTCCCTATACACCTTTCATAATACCCTTCCTCAATGCCCCTTATCTCAAACCTCCAGTTTACAACCCTCTCCTAATAGCTTTCTCCCAATTCTATTCAATACCCAATACTATTCACTACCCAATGTTACTCATTACCCTCCCCAATAGTAGTCAATACCTCTCCCCAATAGTAGTCAATACCCCTCCCCAATACTACTCAATACCCCTTCCCATATTCAATCCTTTCCAATACTCAATACCCTTCCCAATATCACTCCAATACTACTCAATATCATTCCCAATATATTCAATATTCCCCAATACTACTCTATATTATTCAATACTCCCACTCAAATTCCTTCCCAATACTATTCAATTATTCTCCCAATACTACTCAATACCCTCCCAATACTACTCAATACCCCTCCCCAATACTACTCAATACTCCTCAATACCCTCAATACCCCCCAATACTACTCAATACCACTCCCCAATACTACTCAATTTTTAACATATCAGGACCAGATGTTAAAAATGTGCTCAAAAACACAACTTTTTCTGCACACCTGCACACATGTTAGTGGAAATAATGCAAAAGCAAGTAGTCAATTTGGCCCCAAGTGTGCACAATAAGCAGAAATTTACGTTTTATTCACTATGACGTCATCAAAACTTATCACAACCAAAAAATTTGCAAATTCCGAAAATTCTCAGTACCATTCGATAGACAAGTATGAAATGAGTAAAAAAGTATTTTACACCGTTTACTTTCATTCACTTGTTTATGAAGCAATCAACGAACGTTTTTTTACCATGATGCTGACTCAGCATTTTACGGTCTTGTCTTATACCACAGACATACCTGCCAACTCGTCCGGTTTTATCGGCTGTCACCTAAATCTTAAAAAAATCTTCTGAACACTTAATTTTCAATTACATTCACCCTTCGTTAATGACATATAGTTGGTGAAATACTTTTGAAAGAATCAGGTCGGACTAAGTATTTAATGGCAAAAAATATTATAAAATGTTATGCTTATAAACTTTCCATGCACTTTCGTATTATGAACAAAAAATCTACTTGAGTTTTTTGTGTTTGCTGTTTTTACATAATTCTCTTCCACCTGTTCGTCAATGTATTAGTGAATACAATTCTCTATTAAACACTCATTTTACTAAATACAAGTCATAACGAAAACTAAAAACGGAGGAAAGTGATTGAAAATCTGTTGTTCTGAAAATTTGTTTGAAGATTTAGGTGACTGCCCCTAAAACCGGGCGAGTTTTGACACGTATGTCTGGTGTAAGACAAGACCTTAAATTGCTGAGTCAGCATCATGGTAAGACATTCGTTGATGCTTCATAAACGAGTGACTGAAACTAAACAATGTATTAAACTTTTTTACTTGATATATACTAGTCTATCAAATGGTACTGAGAATTTTTGGAATTTGCAATTTTTTCGTTTTCATAACTATCGATGACGTCATCGTGAATAAAACGTAAATTTCTGCTTATTGTGCACACTTATCGCTTGGGGGGACATTGATTACTTGCTTTTGCATTATTTCCCATAACATTATGAAGAATTATTAGTTGTGAGAGGTGTGAAACGAAAATTGTGTTTTTGAGCACATTGATTCACGGCCTAAAAACATTTCTTTTCTACGGTCTTCAATACAACATTGATTTTTGCATTAATTGACTAACAATGTTTTAGCTGAACTTGGTGACTTCGATCCAGAATTTCACGAGCCTGACTACATAAAAGACTACAAGTTTATTTCTGAACAGGTGAATTTTACTTTAAGTAATTTCAGTGGCAGATTTAGAGTACATCAAAATAAATTACTGCAGCTCATTCTTGCATGAATCAAAATAAATTACTGCAGCTCATTCTTGCATGAATCAAAATAAATTACTGCAGCTCATTCTTGCATGAATATATTTTGCAAACACTTAATAGGTAACTCTATTGGTAAAATTGAGCAAATATACAACTTTATGGTGACTAATTATAGAACTCCCCACCACAGTATACTATAACTGTTGTGTGATGTTAACTGCAGTTGTTATTCTCTAAGTTAATGATTCTGCTAGTTTACGTTCAAATTACCAAGCGTTTTATCTTGTTAGCAAACTCTATATAACGTTTGGAAGTAACCTTATTCATCCATAATCATGAATGATACACCTTAAATTCATAATTTACGTAAATAGTTAATAATGCTAAAATATTTCTTGCTTAAATAGTCAATATCCCGATTTTCCAGAACACAAGACCTCTTACGAATTTTGCATGAATTGAATGTGTATTTTGTTATCTGCGTATAGACTGATCAACTGGAAAAAGAGATCCATAGAAAACATCGACAATTTGCGTAAGTTTGATAATTCATAATTGTGTTCAAGCCATAATTGCTATGCACATTTCTTGTATACAACGATGTACTTGGCATAATTTACGCTGAGACTAACGGTGAAATTTCATTGCATGTTTGAAGCTAAAACACAAGCAAATGACGCATTTTAAACCAAATAACCGAGGCACAATTTGAGGCCATCCTTGTTGCCCGCTGTTCGCTTTCTTTTTCACATTTGCATCTTCCCTAAGAATGAAAATAAATGCGAACAATAGCTGTATGTATGTGTGTGACGACTTTCCTTTGCCACAATACGATTTGCAAGTACGTTCGTATTTACAAATGCTTAATCAAACTACGCAAACACATACATCATTGGGGGGGGAGGGTTCAATTTAATGCAAGTTTGCTGTGATGTCGAGTTATTAAATAGATTTGTTCAGTTTTGTACGAGTATCTAAGGGGGGGAGGGTGCATTTAAATTTTAGAGGTCTTAATCCCGCTGACTGTGAAGTCAATTCTTTGAAAATCCTAAAAACCATCGACTCTTATGGCATGCACAAGTATGAAGTAAAAGTGAGTGTTTAGTATTGTGATGCTGAGCATGTAAGTTTTTGTGCGTTTATTTCATCAAAATTTTTGCTCATACGTATGTAGGGTAAAAGTAACCAAGAGAAATTTCAAATTGGTCTTTCATACAAAGGGATTATTGTTATGGAGGAAGGAAACTCACAGGCTGTTACAATTCATTCATGGTAAACGAATTTTATATATTATTTTCATTAATACATAATTTAAATAAGAAATTACTCAGTCAAAAATTGACCAAATTTATCTTCATAAACATCAGTTAGCAACTACGTACATGGTACTTATACAATTAATATGTGCCAGAGTATCTATTTTATAAATCTCAACAAAGTTATTTCATTCAGGCCAAGAATCACAAGTCTGTCATTTAGGAGAAATAAAGTTCATCTTGTGGTGGAAAGCCCGGAGGTTTGTTGATAATGTATTATGGCTATTCTCTTCTCAATTTTACAATCTAAAAAAATTTTTGAATTTTCGGCTACTATAAACATTTTTATCTTATTATCAGCTTCCTTCTAAAAATGAATCGTTTACGTTTCATCTGTCGTCTGCCAAGGCTAGTAAGCAATTGTGGAAAGCAGCTATAGAAAATCACTCTTTCTTTCGGTCAGTACTTACTTTTGATGTATGTAGAACAGTATCTTACACTTATGTTTCTGGTACATATTAGTCGTACGTATTTCATTATTTTAAATTCTGTGATGTGATGACGAATTTTCTTTTACTAGCTTATTAAAAACTGGTGAAAGGCCGAGTACATCTGTTAGTACCTTTCTCAGAAGAGGATCTAAGTTCAGATTTAGGTACTGAAATGTTATCTTATCCCTAGTATTTTAAAATTTTCACAACCTACCCTGGCGTTGTGTACTATAGTGTGTATAGCAAACTATTTTCTATATTTTAGTGGACGAACGCAGCACCAGGTAAATGCTGAAACTAAGAAAAGTGCCAGAAAACAGATGAAGATAGAAAGGTAACTATTTACCTTCTGCAAACCACTTCATTCATCTGCTTTTATTTTATTTGTTACTTCAGGCTTCAGTGGTTTCTTCGAATCTTCAGTTGTTATGAAGTTTGTGCCTATCTGCGCATAAGAATGTTATTTATATAGAATTTAAACTTTTCAGGACTAAAAGTGAGAGATATTCCAAAAGATCAACAGTTGGTATGAATTTCTTTTTGTGGTCATGGATATTTTTTGTTCAAACTCATGTTGTGTTCATGTTGATGCAAAAATATTTTGTTTTTTAGCGGGTCATAGTCATGGAACATGACTACTCACTGGGGTTGTGAAATCCTGAGCAAAAAAGCTTTCATATTGTGACATATAAATATTAATTCAAAAATTTTATTTCATTTTAAGGTTACATAAGGGTTGGCTCGAAGGTTTGGGCCAAAGCATTGAATGGTGATTATTATAAAGGAATTGTGACCGGCCTTGGTGAGAAGGTTCACATCAAGTTTGATAACGAAGAAACGGTTGCTCATGAGAGAGATGCGAAAGATTGTGTTGTTTTTGACATGAACCCTAATCCTGAAGACATAGAGATTAATCTGAGAGTCATTGCTCATTGGTCTTCAATTGTTGCTTATCTCTCTGGAACTGTTATCAAGATCGAAGGACAAAAGTATTATGTGCATTATGATGATGGTGATAAAGGATGGAATAACATAAGACAAATTCGAATCTTGAAACCGCCAACTTATTTCGGTATGTCTGATCAGGAAATGTTTTCTTTTGTGCGAATTATGTTTGTTCCTATTTTTCTACAACATAGACAGCTTTTTACAAATTTTTGTAAAGTTTTAATCCAGTGGCGGACACTAGGAGGTCGAATTCCTCAAATCACTTTTCCATAACATAACTGTGATGTCAAATAATGACTATTTGAGAGACCTCTGTACTGTACACGTACTAGCAGACGCATAAAACCTTGTGTCCTTGTGTGTGTAGGATTGTGTGTACGTAGGAATCCTTAAATTCACTTTCTAGAGATCAAATCTTAAAAGTATACCTATAGGCCAGGCGTGCCCCGGAGAGAAAATATCAATACACTCAGCTCCATTTTGCAATGAAATCAAAATCTACGTAGCAGTAGTCAAAATCATTCCAATTGTGAAATGTATAAAATCATTGTCACAAAAAAAACTCGAGGAATTTCGGTCAAGTATGTCCCTCTACATACATAGGTGTAAAGATGTGTTGTTTTTTTGTATTTAGGACCTGGTGCCAAACTACGTAATAAAGTTAAGAAGGCGGAGTCTGTTAAAGAGACCAGTATGATGTCACGACCAATCACAGTTGAGAAACCTCTAAAGGCCAAAGATCGTCAACGCTTAGAAAACAATGGTAAAAATGTGAGTTCTCAAGCAAATCCCAATGGGGGAAACCACGACAACGAATACAACGAGCGTAAGATATCAACTAATGAAGCACCAAATGGTCATGGCGCTCGTCACCACTCTGCTTCTACTGCAGATAGGCGCTACGCCTTAAACAAATTGTTGAATTCTTCTGATGTTGGAACTGATGTTGACACTGGCGATGTTATTGTCCATGACGATCAAAGTAACAAAAATAATCACGCAGCTGCTCCAAAATCAATGCGAAATATTAGGTTAGAAATGTTAGATTGGAATTTATTTTCTTGTGTGTACTTCTTTGTATTTCAGCAATTACACAAGTACATTAATTTATTTTTTGTTTTCTAATATGTATTTCATTATTCTCATAAGTACATCCATTTGATTTTCCGCGTTCTTATATGAACCTCAGTATTCTCATAAGTACATCCATTTATTTTTTCGAGTTCTTATATGTACCTCAGTATTCTCATAAGTACATCCATTCATTTTTTGTCATGTAAGTTTTATTATTGTTTTAGTTCTCGGTCTGAAGAAAGAAATCCAAGCTTACAGGTTTGAAATGTATTTTTGTTTAAAATATTTGTTTAGTTTAATTAAAATGTAAATTTCTAAATCTTTGAGTATGATATTCATAGGAAAATCACATCTTCGATTCATTCATGTCGGCTGTTGTGTTGCTTATTACTTTATTTAAATCGTATTTTGTTTTAGAATGATTCCTTAAGACAAGGCAAAACTCAAATGACCGAGTTGTAACGACAATATTAAGGTATGTCAATTTATTAAGAACTCATTGATTGAATTGTTGTCTTTTTATATTTTTATAAACATCATCGTTGCATGGAAGTCCGTGATTACCAACCGAAATCTATTTGTCGACACCTCCTCCCCTCCTTAGTGTCTGTGTCATAACTTTATAGCTGTCACAGTCGTTGCTCTTTTTTCTATAGTTATTTATAAGACGTGCAAATTATGAAGAGTGAAGGGAGACTGAGGGTAGAGGGGGAGATACTTTTACTCCTAACACTTGTCTTTTCATTTTACAGTCTTTATTTCCCTCAAACCGGACAAATTTGTGTAGGAATAAATTTTTTGTTGTTGACATTTGAATACCAAATTACATTTTATTTTCGTTGCAGTTGCATTTCCTGCATTTGGCTCTACTTCAAGTGTTTTTTTGAACAATTTGAAGCAATAATTTTTATGTTGCGAAACATTTTAATTGCTCCTTAGTGAGCTGTAGTACAATGGATGTATTTTAACTTCAATTTTGAGATACGTTTTTTAGTATACAATATTATAACGTATAATGTATTTATAATGCAAATAGCTATACGAATTTGTATCATGTACATTTATAACATTCATGTTGCACTGTGGAAATAAAAATGTACCCAACAGATTTGTTTACTATTATTTGTCAGCGTTGTCAATGAATAATCGTAATAAAGGTACAGACTACAGTTTGACCGTTGCCTAGTTACGTACGACGCCTGGGATCGAATTTAGATTTGGTCAAATGACAAAATTCTTATTGAAGCCTCGTTCTAACTCCGAAGTCAGTTTTGATATAACATACAAGTTGTTGGTGAGATCATAGCTCATGCATTTTCATGCTTAAGTCTATAGTTCATGTATTTTCAAGCCAAAGACTATAGTTCATGTATTTTCACACATTTTCATGCCAAAGACTATAGCTCGTGCATTTTGACAAATTTTCATGCCAAAGAGTATAGTTATGCATTTTCACGCATTTTCATGCCAAAGACTATAGTTCATGCAATTTCACACATTTTCATGCCAAAGACTATAGTTCATTCATTTTTACACATTTTCATCCCAAAGACTATAGTTCACGCATTTTCATGCCAAAGACTATACTTCATGTATGTTCATGAAAATGTGTGAAATTGCATGAACTATACACTTTGGCAAGAAAATGATTGAAAACCCATAAACTATAGTCTTTGTCATGAAATTAAGTAAAAATGCATGAACTATAGTCTATGCCATAAAAGTGTGTCAAATTGCATGAACTATGGACTTTGGCATGAAAATGCGTGAAAATGCATGAACTATACTCTTTGACATGAAAATGTGTGAAATTGCATGAACTATAGTCTTTGGCATGAAAATGTGTAAAAATGCATGTACTATTGTCTTTAGCATGAAAATTCGTGATCTATAGTCTTTTGCATGAAAATTCGTGATCTGTAGTCTTTTGCATGAAAATTCGTGATCTATAGTCTTTTGCATGAAAATTCGTGATCTATAGTCTTTTGCATGAAAATTCGTGATCTATAGTCTTTTGCATGAAAATTCGTGATCTATAGTCTTTTACATGAAAATTCGTGATCTATAGTCTTTTACATGAAAATTCGTGATCTATAGCCTTTTGCATGAAATTTCGTGAAATATAGTCTTTTGCATGAAAATTCGTGATCTATAGTCTTTTACAGGAAATTTCGTGATCTATAGTCTCTTGCATGAAATTTCGTGAACTATAGTCTTTTGCATGAAAATTCGTGATCTATAGTCTTTTGCATGAAAATTCGTGAACTATAGTCTTTTGCATGAAAATTCGTGATCTATAGTCTTTTACATGAAAATTCATGATCTATAGTCTTTTGCATGAAATTCGTGATCTATAGTCTTTTACATGAAAATTCGCGATCTATAGTCTTTTGCATGAAAATTTGTGAACTATAGTCTTTTACATGAAGATTCGTGATCTATAGTCTTTTGCATCAAATTTCGTGATCTATAGTCTTTTGCATGAAAATTCGTGATCTATAGTCTTTTGCATGAAAATTCGTGATCTATAGTCTTTTGCATGAAATTTCGTGATCTATAGTCTTTTGCATCAAATTTCGTGATCTATAGTCTTTTGCATGAAAATTCGTGATCTATAGTCTTTTGCATGAAAATTCGTGATCTATAGTCTTTTGCATGAAAATTCGTGAACTATAGTCTTTTACATGAAAATTCGTGATGTATAGTCTTTTGCATGAAAACGTGTAAAAATGCATGTGCTATAGTTTTCGATGAAAATGTGTGAAAATTCCTGAACTATAGTCTTTTGCATGAAAATTCGTGATCTATAGTCTTTTACATGAAAATTTGTGAACTGTAGTCTTTTGCATCAAAATTCGTGATCTATAGTCTTTTGCATCAAATTTCGTGATCTATAGTCTTTTGCATGAAAATTCGTCATCTATAGTTTTGCATGAAAATTCGTGATCTATAGTCTTTTGCATTAAAATTCGTGATGTATAGTCTTTTACATGAAAATTCGTGATCTATAGTCTTTGCATGAAAATTCGTGATCTATAGTCTTTTGCATGAAAATTCGTAAACTATAGTCATTTGCATGAAAATTCGTGATCTATAGTCTTTTACAGTAAAATTCGTCATCTATAGTCTTTTACATGAAAATTCATGATCTATAGTCTTTTACATGAAAATTCACGATCTATAGTCTTTTGCATGAAAATTTGTGAACTATAGTCTTTTACATGAAGATTCGTGATCTATAGTCTTTTGCATCAAATTTCGTGATCTATAGTCTTTGCATGAAAATTCGTGATCTATAGTCTTTTGCATGAAAATTCGTGATCTATAGTCTTTTGCATGAAAATTCGTGATCTGTAGTCTTTTGCATGAAAATTCGTGAACTATAGTCTTTTGCATGAAAATTCGTGATCTATAGTCTTTTGCATGAAAATTCGTGAACTATAGTCTTTTACATGAAAATTCGTGATCTATAGTCTTTACATGAAAATTCGTGAACTATAGTCTTTTGCATCAAATTTCGTGATCTATAGTCTTTTGCATGAAAATTCGTGAACTATAGTCTTTTGCATGAAAATATGTCAAATTGCATGAGCTATAGTCTTTGTCATGAAAATGGGTAAAAATTCATGTACTATAGTCTTTGTCATGAAAATGTGTAAAAATGCATGTACTATTGTCTTTTGCATGAAAATGTGTCAAAATGTATGAACTATAGTCTTTGAAAGGAAAATGTGTAAAAATGAATGTAGTATAGTATTTGGCATGAAAATGTGTAAAAATGAATGTAGTATAGTCTTTGGCATGAAAATGTGTAAAAATGCATGTGGTATAGTCTTTGGCATTAAAATTTGTAAAAATGCATGTACTATAGTCTTTGTCATGAAAAAAACGAAAAATACATGAACTATAGTCTTTGGCATTAAAATGTGTAAAAATGCATGTGCTATAGTCTTTGGATGAAAATGTGTAAAATTCGTGAACTATAGTCTTTTGCATGAAAATTCGTGATCTATAGTCTTTACATGAAAATTCGTGTACTATAGTCTTTTGCATCAAATTTCGTGATCTATAGTCTTTTGCATGAAAATTCGTGAACTATAGTCTCTTACATGAAAATTCGCGATCTATAGTCTTTTGCATGAAAATATGTCAAATTGCATGAGCTATAGTCTTTGTCATGAAAATGTGTAAAAATTCATGTACTATAGTCTTTGTCATGAAAATGTGTAAAAATGCATGTACTATAGTCTTTGTCATGAAAATGTGTAAAAATGCATGAAATATAGTCTTTGGATGAAAATGTGTGAAAATGCATGTACTATAGACTTTGCATGAAAATATGTGAAATTGCATGAGCTATAGTCATTGTCATGAAAATGTGTAAAAATTCATGTACTATAGTCTTTGTCATGAAAATGTGTAAAAATGCATGTACTATTGTCTTTTGCATGAAAATTCGTGATCTATAGTCTTTTGCATGAAAATTCGTGATCTATAGTCTTTTGCATGAAAATTCGTGATCTTTAGCCTTTTGCATGAAAATTCGTGATCTATAGTCTTTTACATGAAAATTCGTGATCTATAGTCTTTTGCATGAAAATTCGTGATATATAGTCTTTTACATGAAAATTCGTGAACTATAGTCTTTTGCATCGAATTTCGTGATCTACAGTCTTTTGCATAAAAATTCGTGATCTATAGTCTTTTGCATGAAAATTCGTGATGTATAGTCTATTGTAGGAAAATGTGTAAAAATGCGTCTGCTATAGTCTTTGGATGAAAATGTGTGAAAATGCATGTACTATAGACTTTGCATGAAAATATGTGAAATTGCATGAGCTATAGTCTTTGTCATGAAAATGTGTAAAAATTCATGTACTATAGTCTTTGTCATGAAAATGTGTAAAAATGCATGTACTATTGTCTTTTGTATGAAAATTCGTGATCTATAGTCTTTTGCATGAAAATTCGTGATCTATAGTCTTTTGCATGAAAATTCGTGATCTATAGTCTTTTGCATGAAAATTCGTGATCTATAGTCTTTGCATGAAAATTCGTGATCTATAGTCTTTTGCATGAAAATTCGTGATCTATAGTCTTTTACATGAAAATTCGTGATCTATAGTCTTTTACATGAAAATTCGCGATCTATAGCCTTTTGCATGAAATTTCGTGAAATATAGTCTTTTGCATGAAAATTCGTGATCTATAGTCTTTTGCATGAAAATTCGTGAACTATAGTCTTTTACATGAAAATTCGTGATCTATAGTCTTTTGCATGAAAATTCGTGATCTATAGTCTTTTGCATGAAAATTCGTGAACTATAGTCTTTGCATGAAAATTCGTGATCTATAGTCTTTGCATGAAAATTCGTGAACTATAGTCTTTACATGAAAATTCGTGATCTATAGTCTTTACATGAAAATTCGTGAACTATAGTCTTTTGCATCAAATTTCGTGATCTATAGTCTTTTGTATGAAAATTTGTGAACTATAGTCTTTTGCATGAAAATATGTCAAATTGCTTGAGCTACAGTCTTTGTCATGAAAATGTGTAAAAATTCATGTACTATAGTCTTTGTCATGAAAATGTGTAAAAATGCATGTACTATTGTCTTTTGCATGAAAATGTGTCAAAATGTATGAACTATAGTCTTTGAAAGGAAAATGGGTAAAAATGAATGTAGTATAGTATTTGGCATGAAAATGTGTAAAAATGAATGTAGTATAGTCTTTGGCATGAAAATGTGTAAAAATGCATGTGGTATAGTCTTTGGCATTAAAATTTGTAAAAATGCATGTACTATAGTCTTTGTAATGAAAAAAACGAAAAATACATGAACTATAGTCTTTGGCATTAAAATGTGTAAAAATGCATGTGCTATAGTCTTTGGATGAAAAATGTGTGAAAATTCGTGAACTATAGTCTTTACATGAAAATTCGTGAACTATAGTCTTTTGCATGAAAATTCGTTTACTAGTCTTTTACAACAAGATTCCTTATCTATAGTCTTTTGCATGAAAATTCGTGATCTATAGTCTTTTACATGAAAATTCGTGATCTATAGTCTTTTACAACAAGATTCCTTATCTATAGTCTTTTGC